CCAGCGGGGGGGCCCTCCCTCCCCCCCCCTCCTCAGTCCCGATGCTTGCCAGAGAGTCAGAGCCCACAGGGGAAGGGTTCTGTCCTACTGGACGGCCTCCCACCCCCTCCAGACACCAGCATCCAGTCCAGGAGCCCCTGGGCTTCTGACCCGCCAGCTACAGAGTGGGGGCCCAGCCCCCCCCTTCTCAGGCTCGATCCCTTTGCTGGAGCAGACTGTGGAGCTCACAGAAATTTTTACTTTAAAAACAGCAAGATGGTGGGCCTCCCTGGGGGCGCAGGGGTTAAGTCTCAGCACTAGAAGCAATCCACAGTCACTGCAGCACAGTTTGATCCTCCAGCCAGGGAGCTACCCACAGGGCGCAGCAGACCTCTCCTGACTCCCCGCTGCTCCCCTCAGCAGTGTGTTTCAGTAGATCCGCCCGTCCTGCTCCCCACTCTGCCTCTGGTGATCCTCTCACCCCCATCCCCCTAACCTCTGGCCAGTACCCCAGTTCTTATGTGTTCAAATAAAATAAATCTTTAAAAAATAGAATGAAAACAGGAAGATGGAAGGGATGTGCAGGGCAGACACATGGGAAGGGACTCCGAGCCCCCGTGAGCGGACCCCCAGACTCCCGTGTCCGCAGCCAGGACGCTCTCTGAGCTCCATCCTGCGGGGCCTTTAAGGGAAACCTCCTTACAGAGGAGGGTCAATTAAATCCTGGGCCTTTGGGGACTGAACTCACTCTCCAGCCCTGCTCCTGCTCTCCTGGGTCAGGGGACAGTAGAGTTGGAAACAGGAAATTCCAGCCCCCATCCACACGGTTACCCCCGACCCTGGGTGCTTCTCAAGAGTGGCTGCCTGGGAAAAGACACCTTCACTGCTGCCATCACGGGAAACTGCAAGTTTCTGTGCCGAGACGGGCACAGAAACCAAATGCAGATTTCTTATCTCAGGTCACAGTGTCAAAGCCCCGCCTGGAAAGGCCCCTTCCCCTTCCTCTCCTGCCCAGTCCCCTCCCCGCGTGCCTGGCCCAGCCCGGTTTTTGTTAGCCCAGGAGACCGTGCAGCCGCCACCTGGGCTTTGGCTGGCCTCCCAGAAAGCCAAGCTCGGCGCCCCGAGGACGCAGTCTCACAAAGGCCTTCTTATTCCAGGCGCTCGCCAAGGCAGTGGGCGGGGTTAGACCCCTAAAGCCTGGCTCCCCGACAGGCCGACAGGCCAGAGAGCCGCGACTGTATGGTGGGGAGAAAGTGAGGGCGTGTGGGGTGTGACAGGACTGGGTGTTAGCATTTCCAGGCTGGGGGGCGGGGGGGGGGTCCCCTCTCTCTGCAGCGAGCGTCTCCTCTGGCCCATCACACGCCAACACTCAGCAGGTGTTTGTTTTCCATGTTACAGCAAAGACGCACAGAGAATTTTTGCAGAGAGGTGACACAGTCCGTTTCCACGTTCCGGGGAATGTGATTGGAGAGAAATGCGTTCAGGTTAAAGGTTAGTGAAAGGGAGGGACGGGGACGAGAAAGCAGAGGGTTGTCAGAATTTAATTCTGTTTACTCCTCCTTTTTAGTCTAGGGGAGTTTTTGTTACAAAATGGAGGGGCTCGGCTATAACAGGGCAGAGAAACCCCCAGCACTGAAATCTCACAGCTCCCCACGTAATTTGGTCTAGTTTTATTGCATTTTACAGATTAAGAAACTGAAGTCCAAGCTTTCAATACAAAGAGATAAGAGAGCGTTGAACAAACCCAGGCTTAGAAAGCGGCCTGGTAGGAACCGTGATTCCAAATCAAGCCTCGGGCCAGCCAAGGAAAGCCAGGGCTGCCGTCCTGTCTGTCGCTGCTTCTGTTCAGATGACGGCCCCAGGCAGACTGTCCTCACAGCAGCCCAGTCCTGCTGCCGGACCATTATACAGATGTCCCTGAGCAGGGAAGGGACTTTTCCCAAGGTCTCTGGCAGGTGAGCAGAGGAGCCTGGCTCCATCCAGGGCTGAGTTCTGGCGCCCATGAGTCCTTGAGAGAATGTGCAATCAAAGCCGAGGGCCCCGGGCTCACCCCCCAGGGTGGTTTGGTGCCACTGTCCTCAAGGCACCCTTCTGCCCAGGCCATGAGGAAGCCGCTGTCCCTTCCCTGCAATGCAGGGCCTTGGGATACTCGCTGTTCTCCTAGCAAGGTCCGTGGTCAGTTAGAACACTCCTCTCTGGGTACTTTCTGGTTGCTCCCCAGCATAACATGCTCCCCTACACCGTGCAGATGGAGACCCTCCCTCTGCTCCTGAGCAGGGAGCCCGGGAGAGAACCAGGTCTCCTGACTCCTCTGTCATTTAAACCTCCCCCATTACGGAAAAGCTCGTTGGACAGTCAAAAGCTAATCCATGGATAAAGAAGCGATGGGATTAGGTGAAGGGGCTAAAAGTGGTCTCAAAGTGACTCCCCCATAAGACACATACTAACTACAGAGAGAAACATAGAAACATCTCAGTGGAGCGGCCCAGCCAACCCCATACCACCCGCGCCATCAAGTGTGTCTGTAGCAAGAAGACAAGGCAGTGTGAAGAGCCTCCTGCTAGAATGAGGTAGACCACCTGGTTTGTGGGAGCACCCCCCTCTCCTGGCGGAACTGGGTCCCCTCCCCATTCACATGTCAACCCCGGCATGTCCGCATGTGACTGTGTGTGAAGATAGTGGCTTTGAGGTGCCAGCTGCCAGCAAAGAAGGGACTTCAGAAGTCAGACCTGCTGACGCCTTGGCCTTGGACTTCCAACCTCCAGAGTTGTGAGAAAATAAATTCCTGCTGGCTGAGCCCCCTGGGCCCTGGCCACTCACCGGCCAACAAGGCACCACCGGGACTCCCCGGGGGCTGTCTCAGACGGGAGCAGGCACAGGAAACTTGGCCCTGACCTTGGACCAGACCTGGGTTTAGGGAGAAGTCGCAGTCTTAAGGACAACTGGTGAGCTGAACACGGTTTTTAGAGTAGACGAATGTGTCATCGGGGAGGATTTCCTGGTTTTACTGCTCTTATGCCATATGGAGACGTAAAGGGGGAACCAGCGTGTGTGCAACCCACTGAGGGTAAGTGCAGGGCAGAAGGCACAGGGCAGGTTCCCCGTGATCCGGGCAGACGGGTCAAGGAGAGTCCTGGAGCCCTCGGTGGCTTTTCAGGCTTTTATTGAGCTTTTTACACCATTTGTAGTGGGCAGCCAGGTACACGGCAGGCAGGCGGCCCGGGGGGCCAGGAGACTGGCAGACCTCCTGGCCCCGCCCGTCTTCTCTCTTCCGGGCTTCCTGCGCTCGCGGGGTCTGCGCCGCCGCTGCAGCTGCTGCTGCGCTTTCTCTTCTTGCTCTCGCTCCGCTGTTCTCCTGGCAGCCCCGTGACGCCGCCCTTATTTGCCCAGTCTCTCAGCCAGGTGTGCCCACCTATGCGTGCCCACACCCTACTTCAGGGGTGCGCCCTCAGGCACACGTGTGGGACTGCAGGGGTCTGTGCGGGGGTCTATCGTTAATGCTAATGGCGGGAGGGCGGAGAAGCCTGATAAGTTTCATTTACCCTACAGTAAGGAAGAAAAAGTGTGTGAGTGTGTGTGTGTGAGAGAGTGTGTGTGTGTGTGTGTGATACAGAGATAGAGAGAGAGACGTGATGGAGCTGGGTGAATGTTTGCTGAGGCGTGAGAATGACATGGTCTGAAAATGACACCCCCGTAAGACACACACTAACCACAGAGAGAAACACAGAAAATGTACCAAAAAGTTCCCAAACCAGTGACCAGTGAATCCTTGGGGACTGCTGGCTGGGCGGGGTCCGGGTGAGGGGTATATGGAAGCTCTTTCCAGTAAGTCGGAAACAATCTCAACACAAAAAGTCGAAAATCTCCCACGTCCCTCAGAGAAGTGCCCTCGCCAGCCCCTCCCCTGCCGACCTCCCCCCTCCTATGCAGCATCCGGCCCCCACCAGTTTGACCCCCTGCTTTCAGGGGCCTCTCTCCACCTTGCCTCCCCCAGGTCCCCCCGCCTCAGCACAGCGTCCCCCGCACACGCGCGCGTCCCTGCGTCCGGGGCGCCTCGTGCTTCTGCTCACGTTCCTCTTCCAGAAACACAAGCCTCACCCCACCTGCTGGGTCGGGGTCTCAACCTGCCCCTGCCCTGCAGCCGGAGAGACCCACCCCAGGCTTGGGGCGTGTGGTCCTGGAACGCCCCGGAGCCCAGGAGCTCCCCTTGCGGCCACTTCTCCAGCTGCCTTTAATGGAAGCTGTTACTGGAGCTGCTCTAGATTGACGGGAAGCCCGAGGGGGGCAAATACAGCCAAAACCCAATTTTTGAAAGAGGGAAAAACGCTTATAAATAAATACGAAGGAAGAACAGGCAAGCACACGTCCTCAAAGAAGACTTCAGCGAACCCGCGCGGACAGGTGTCGCCAAGGCCCCCCGAGACGGCCATCTCGCGCGGTCAGCGCGGCCCTCACGCTCGGATGAGCCAGTGCCGGAGCTGGCCGCCGCCCTCCTGTTCCGGGATGGCATCCAGGACGCCACCGTGCCACGAGCCGCCCACTCTCGCTCTTATTTATGAGAAGCAGCCGCTGACTCCTCGCCTTCCTCCCAGGAGAGGTGGCTGACGGTGGAGGCGCAGTGGTTGTGAGGCCCCTGTGCCCTCTCCCCTGCATTCTCTTAGGGCGGGGCACGTGCCCCAGGACTTGCCCTGTGGGCCCAGCAAAGCCCCGAGGAGTGGGGTGTAATCCCCCTAGCCAGCCGCCCCCCCCCACCCCGTCCCTGCAGTTCCCAGTGGCCCCAGGGCCCAAGGCAGGCAGGAGGCCCTGGGGAGCCTGACAGTCAAGGAAGGGTGAGGAGGCATGGGGGAGACAACCAACCCGCTCTGGCCGGAACCCAGCCCGCTCCCTCCAGCTGTCTCTCCTCCGTCTCCCAAAGCCCCAGCCAGAAGCACTCAGCCCAGCCAGCAGCGCCCCCAGCTGTGCGCAGGCAGCCAGGGTGAGGGGTAGCTCCTGGAGCAGCGCCTTGGGGTGGGGCTGGGAAGGGGCCTTCCCCAGGCTTCAGGGTAGGAATTTCACCAGAGTCCCTGGTGACCAGCAGCCGTGCATCCAGGTGGGGCCCCTTTGGCCCTTAGAAGCTCCCACTTGCTCCTCCCCCATATAAGGGCTGCCCCCTGGGCGTGGGGGCTGCGCTGGTCCTCGCTGCAGCTGAGGGCGGGAGTCTGGGTCATGGCCTGGGGTCAGTGGGTGGCGCTGCTCTTGCTGCTGCCAGCAGCCACTCTGGGGCAGGATCAGCGGCCGCACCTCCAGCCTGGGCTCCGAGGCCTCTGGTACCGCTATGACTGTGGGTTCAAGAGCATGCAGCTGCTGGTGTACCCCCCGCCAGGCCACACCGTCCACTTCAAGGCGATGGGTGAGTGGGGGCTGCACGGGCACCCGCCCAGCCGTGGGAGCAAGAAGGGCACGGAGAGGGGGCGGGTGTGCTGCGGACCCCGGGTTCCCAGGGAAGGTCACCCAAGGAGCAGGGGATCCCCTGGCCATCGTGCCGAGCTGCAGGTCCTCTCGGTCGGACCTGGACTCTGCGTTTGTGAGCAGCCCGCGGGCGCCCCGGCTGCATCTAGCGGCAGAGGCCTGGGGCTGAGGTCCGGGTGGGGACCAAGGCCGTGGCTTTGGAGTCGGGATGTGAATCAGCAGCTTGAGAGCTGTGTGATCCTCAACAACTGACCCGCCCTCTCTGGACCTGCGTTTCCTGACCTGTAAGACTCGCCGTGGGGTGTGCTGCATGGGGGGGCCAGGCCCCGCTGGGCTGATGCGGTGGGCGAGCCTTGGTGGGGGCCCTCAAGCGCCCGCAGCAGCCAGCTCACCTGGCAGAGAGCTCCATCCGCTCTTTCTAGCAAATTCCAGGTTTGAATCCTGCTGCCCCTGCGGGTGGGAGCTGAGCAGCTCACTCCCCCCGCCCCTCTGCTGCCTCCTCCCCGAGTGTGGACAACTGCTGTGAAATCCTGGGCCCTGTGCCTGCGCCCCACTCCCCACTCATGTTTACTCCACCGGCTTTTCATTCCTGCCTGCGGCTGGGCACCGCCAGCCGGGAAGCGCCCAAGGCCAGTTCCAGCCCCACTTTCTTAGAGGAAGAAACTAAACCAGAGAGGGAAGGGGCTGGCCTGAGGCCACACAGCCAGCGGCTCTCCTGCTGGAGTAGGGGTCTTCTCGGCAGCCTCCCTCCAGCTTCAGGCCTTACCCTCCCGTTGGCCTCTCTCTCCTCCCCCACCCAGATGAATTTGGGAACCTATTCGAGGTGAACAACTGCTCCGTCTGTTACCACTGGGTCACCTCCAAGCCCGAGGGGCCCACAATCCTCTCTGCTGAATACAAAGGCTGCCTTGTGCTGGAGAAGGTAGGGCTTGAGAACTGCTGAGGGGGTGATGGGGGTGACCCTGGCTGGGGAGCAGCCGGACCTCAGTGTCCAGTGAGAGGTGCCCCAAAGACCCGGGATGACGGGAGCCCAGGGCCTCTCCATGAGCAGGTGAGGCGCAGGCACTTCCTGGGGCCCGCCCACCAATCCAGCTCCTGCCGCCCCCAGCTGGGCTCCGGCTGCCCTCTCCTGTGCCGGGGTATGAGTGACCACACCTGGCTGCTCTCCTCCCGGCCTCCCACCCGTAGGACGGCAGCTTCCACCTGAGGGTGTCCATAGAAGCCATCCTGCCCAGTGGTCGTGTAGCTGGGACCCGAAACGTCACCATGACCTGCCCCCGAGATGACCTCGCCTGGACGCCGGACACCCACCAGGCGCCCCTTGCCACAGCTTCACTTTCTACCCCGTCTGCTCAGTCCCTCCACCCTGCCTCTGACCACTCCTCTCCCAGCGCACAGTACCCAGAGCTTGGCTTCGTCCAGCCAGCCACTGCCTCGCCATCCCTCGGATCTGCGCCCACCCACCCCACTCCCACCCAACACCAGTGGAGCACCTGGGGACTCTGGGAAGAGGACAGGCCAGCTTACACTGGTAGGCGGGGCGTCCCTGGGTGCGCACCTGTGTCTGGGACCTGCAGTGGGCCGGGGGGATGGGGCAGCCTGCAAGCCCTTTGTTGGGCTCTGAGGCCACCTGCCTTCATTTCCCTGGAAGTCTGCTGCCCGCTGGGATCCATCCCATGTCCTTACCACACTATTGCCAACCCCAGGTACCCGTCTGACCCAGGACCAGTGCCAGGTGGCCTCTGGGCACATCCCCTGCCAAGTGAGAAGTTCAAAGGCAGCCTGTCAGCAGGCTGGCTGCTGCTATGACAACACCAGAGTGGTGCCCTGTTACTATGGCAACACAGGTACAATTTTCTGCACCAAACGGGGTCCCATTCCCCTGGATCCTGAAGCTGTCCCCAGAACTGTCTAATCCCCCTCTAGCAGAGACCCCTACCTTTAGCCTAGCGCACCCTACTTTGGATGATAAATTAAGCCTGTTCTACTTTTATTTTTTTAAAGATTATTTATGCATACGAGAACTGGGGTACAGGCCAGATGCGGGGGGTGAAAGGACTCCCAGAGACACTAGGGAGCAGAACAGGCAGATCTACTGAAATACACTGCTGAGGGGAGCAGGGGGAGACAGGAGAGGTCTGCCGCGCCATGTGGGAATCTCCCTGGCCTGCGGGGGATCAAAGTCGTGCTGCAGAGGCTGCGGGTTGCCTCATAGCGCGGTGCTTAACCCCTTGCGCCACCAGGGAGGCCCCTGTCCTACTTTCAGAGTATAGATCAACTATTTTTTTGTCCCAAGCATAGGAAAAACTGGGTCCCTAAAGGGTTTGCTCCAGCGAACACAAGTAGAGAATGAGAGTCCAGGTCTCCCACTCTGAGGTCAATGCTCCCCTGGTGGAGGGGCCTGACCCCGAGGCCTGCTCTGCCTCTCTGATCTGTCTTTGCCCCAGTGACTGTCCAGTGCTTCAGAAGTGGCCACGCGGTCCTGGTGGTGTCCCAGGAAACGGCGCTGGCACACCGGGTCTCGCTGGCCAACATCCACCTGGCCTTCGCACCCCGAGGCTGCGCCCGGGCCCAGGAGACGGGGGCTTTCGTGGCCTTCCGCTTCCCCCTCACGCACTGCGGCACCACACTTCAGGTAGGAGTGGGCGGGGGCGGCGCCCAGCACCCCCCACCCCAGAGCCTCACCCGGCCGTCTCCCCCACAGGTGCTCGGCGACCAGCTCATCTATGAGAACCAGCTGGTGTCCGACATTAACGTCCAAGTGGGGCCACGGGGATCCATCACTCGGGACGGCACCTTCCAGTGAGCGCTGGGCTGTGGGGCTGGGTGTGAAGGGACCCCCCAGCGTAGATCCAGCTTGGGGGCATCGGGGTTCCTGGTCAAGGTCCGTGTGACCTTGGATGAGCTACTGACTTCTTTCCAGCTCCCCCTGCCGGGCAGAGGGAATGCCCCTCACTGGGGCCCTTGCGGCTTTTTTTGAAGGGTCTGCCCAAGCCTGACAGGTAGAAGCCTTCGTAGTGCAGGGGAGGGGGTGCGGGGGGCGGGGCAGAGCCCTGAGCCCCCTGCCTTTATCCCTCCAAGAGCCGAGTTGAGCAACCAGAACTAAGCTGAAAGCCCCCCCTCCAGGCCCCAGGAAGAGGCTGTGGCCATTGCCACCTCCAGGTTTCACAGATAAGGCAAAAGATACTGTGATGAAGCACTCTGGGGGGGTGGGGGAGGGGAGGGGAGCCCTGGCTGAAGGGGGCCTCCAGGACCTGCTGATTTAGGTGACAGCGCCACACCCCCAGCCCAGGGCCCCCACGGGAATCTGTGCCTACCTTGGAAGGCCAGCTTGCAGCTGCCGAACGATCGTTCGGGGGGGGGTGCCGCTGGGAAACAGCTGTGGCCTGTGGAGGGAGCAGGGGCTCTCGCAGAAAGGCCTTGCGTTCAAGGTGGGCTCACTTGAGCCTGTTAGCACAGGCGGCACCTGCAGGCTACCGCCCGGCCAGGCACTGGCTAAGCAGAGGGACGGGCAGAGCGCTTCGGAGCGGGTGGGGTGGGCTGGTGGGTCAGCCACTCGCAGACGCCTGTGGGGAGCTGCGCATGAGCCCCCAGGAGTGCGGGGGCTCTCAGGTGAGAGGTCACAGGCCCCTGTGGCAGGCCAGCGCTCTACAAGGTGAGCGATGCTTCTCCCTGTCCGCGCCCTCTGACCAGTGAGCAAACGGGCTCGGGTTAAACCCCTCACCTGTGGTCCGAGGCCAGGAACTGCTGAGAAGACTCAGGCCCAGGGCCGCCCTGGCAAGGCCAGGCCAGGTGGCGTCTGCCCAGCCCAGGAGGGTCCACCCCCAGCCCTGTGCTAGATGCCGCCCCAGGAGGGCGAGGTGGGCCGAGGACAGGGTGGGGGAGGGGCCTGCGCCTCCTTGGCAGGGGTGCGCGCCAGGGCGGGCACCCACACCCCTGCAGGCTCGTCAGCGCAGGATGCCTGACTCTTGTCTTCTCCCCCGTCCTCACACCTGGACCTCAGGCTTCTTGTCCGCTGCGTCTTCAACACCAGCGACTTCCTGCCCATCCAAGCGTACATCCTCCCTGCCCTGCTGCCATCGCCCTCGCAGCAGCCCGCCGCTGTCAGCCAGGCCGGCCCCCTGCCCATGGAGCTGCGGATCGCCAAGGGTGCGCCCCCAGCCTCCCCTCCCACCCCGGGACCCTCCCCCCCGCCCCACCAGCTCACTAGCCCCTCTCCCTGCAGATGCCAATTTCAGCTCCTACTACCAGGAGGGCGACTACCCCATCGTGAGGCTGCTCCGCCAGCCTGTCCACGTGGAGGTCCGGCTCCTGCAGCGGGTGGACCCCAGCCTGGTCCTGGTGCTGCACCAGTGCTGGGCCACTCCCAGCGTCAACCCCTTCCAGCAACCTCAGTGGACCATCCTGTCAGACGGGTGAGGGGCCTGGGCCAGAGGGCCCCCCAGCACGCCAGCTGCTCCTCCTCCCCCCGCCCCCCGCCCTGCCACCTGCCCCTCCAGCAGGCCCCCTGACTCCTCTGCTCTCCAGGTGCCCTTTCAAGGACGACAGTCACAAGACCCAGATGGTGCCCGTGGACAGGGCCACAGTGCCCTTCCCCTCCCACTACCAGCGCTTCACGGTTGCCACCTTCGCCCTCCTGGACCCCCACAAGGTCCTTAGGAAGCAGGTAGGAAGTGCCGGTGTACCTCATGCCTGCTCCCCATCTGACAAGCACTCCCGCAGCTGAGGGAGACAGAGTTTCCCCGGGGGATTGGTTTGACCTGGTGTCGTGGAGGGCGGGCGCCCAGGTCCTGACCTTGGCTCAGCCCAGAGATGACCCATAATAACTCAAGTGGGGGGACAGAAACCCCAAAATCTGAACATTGGTCATCTCGCTTCTGAATCTAGAAACACTGTGGTCAACCTAATTTTTTCCTAAGATTTATTGATAAGAACTGGGGTACAAGCCAGAGCGCAGGGAGGTGAGAGGATTCACCAGAGACAGTGGGGAGCAGCACACACACACAGACTGACTGAAACACACTGCTGAGGGGATCGGCGGGCGAGTTGGGAGAGGTCTGCTGCGCCATGTGGGTCACCTCTCTGGCTGGAGGCTGTGGACAGCTTCACAGTGCTGAGACTTAACCCCTTGCATCACCAGGGAGGCCCTAATTCTGCTTCGAATAGTTATTACCCAGCGCCTTCCCAGAAGGAAACACAGCAAGCTTAGGGGTGTCAGGTTTCCTAAACAACACGTCCCTTTGTGGTGTTGGTGTCCCTGTATTCCAGCGGTGTCAGCACCTCCCAGATGGACTCCCTCCTAGACAGACTCCCCCGTAGCACGGGAGGTGGTTCTCATCTCGGTTGTGTGCCTCTTTCTGAGCCCGGGGACCCCAGGCTCCTGATGGAGGGATCTGTGTGGTTGGGCCCAGTGGGTGCTGGTTCAAGTCCTCTCCTCCCACTTTGACTCCCAGGGGAGCTGCCTCTGGCCTTGTGCTTCTGACAGCAGTGGCGACCTGTCGCCCCTCTGCCTGAGTCACATGTCACCAGGCGCCAGCAAGAGGGGGGCAGGCAAGCCCACCTCCCAATCAGTAGTGCAGCGAGGGGACGAGCCCACCCTCCCAGAGTCTCCAGTCAGAGGCAGCCCTGGGGGTGGAGGGGAGCAGCCTGGGGTGGGGCTCTGTCGAGGACGGCGGTCCCGCCACCAACTGCCGCAGCATCAGGGAGGCTCCCCTGCCAGGAAGCCTCTCCTGCAGCCTTGACGCACAACAGCAGGGGCTGCAGTCTCAGTCCACAGTCGGGGTGCCCAGACCTCTCCTCGCCTGCCTGGCAGGGAGCAGCATGGACTGGGCCCGGGTCCTGCACCACGTCCCTACCTCAGATGCCGCCCGTGGCGTCCAGCCGCAGGCGCCTTGACCTTGTCCTCCTTCCCCAGGTTTACTTCTTCTGTAGCGTCTCCGTGTGCGCCCCGTCGGGGTTGGAGGCCTGCCTGCCGTCGTGTCACCCTGGGAATCCACGTGAGTCTGGGCGGGGGCGGGGCGGGGGGGATGCTCTGCGGGCCTGTTCTGGGCTTCGGGGCCTCGAGGGGCTGTAGGCCAGCCCAAGACGCTGTCCCTGCTCTCCCCCGACAGGACGGCGACGATCCTCCGGTTCCCTCAACACCACCAGCCCCCAGAACATCGTGAGCTCCCCGGGGCCAGTGAGCTTTGAGGATTCTTACCGACAGGAACCTCCACTGCGACCCGCAGGTACCAGGTCTTGGCCCCCGGGGTGCTGGCAGAAATGGGGGTGTTCCAGGCATTGCGAGGGCAGGAGGCGGCACAACTGCGTCCAGTGGGGAACTGGGCAAAGACAAATCTGCCTCAGCGGCAGGAAGGCAGCTTCAGCCCTGCCCAGTGTGATGCCGAGGCTGGCACGGAGGGGATGGCCGGGGGCCTCGTCCAGGCCTGCAGCCTCCGACCACTTCTCTCCGGCAGGAACTCCAAGCAGGAACTCCAGCCCGTGGCCGCTGCTCTGGGTGCTGCCCTTACTGTTGGCCATCGCCCTGGTCCTGGGCGCTGGGGTCTTTGTGGGCCTGAGGCAGGTCCGGGTCCGGAAACTTCGGGATGGCAGAGGGTGAATGGGCTCAATAAACTGTCCTTTCCAACCCACTAAAAGCAGTTGTGCCGTCTCCTTGCGACTAGACCAGACTCCCTCTGGCTGAGACACTGAATTGCAGTCTGGTACCGCATGCTTGGGTGGCGTCTGAGTCCTCTAGCAAGGAAAAGGCCATGATCCTCACGGAGAAAACAGGACAAGCAAGGCAGAGGCAGGTCAAATCTTGGCAGGTCCCAGAATGCCAGCAGCTGGCCTGGCTCACGGCCTGGGGGCCTTCCCCAGACCCCAAAGCACCCTGCTTGGCTGCTGCATGGATGTGGGCACCCCAGAGTTCACAGGACCAAAAGAACCTAGACCAGCTCGGAGGAGCTCCTCAGTCCCGCCAGAGCCCCCGAGCCCAACCCCAGGGATGCCGGGTGCTTCCCAGCCCCAGCATCTTGCTCCCTCCCACCCCAGGGCTAGTCCACGCAGGCTGGTGAGCACGATCGCACAGCTGGCCGTGGGCCGACTGCATGGTGGGCATGGCCACCAGACGCCGGAAGCAGTGCTGGCTGTGCTGCTGACCTTCATTTACCCTTGTAGGACATGCGCCTTCGTCTCTGCCCGGGCAGCAGGTTGCTCACTGGGGGATACCCAGATATTCCGGGCTGGGGTGGGGTTCTGTCTCTGGTGGGCAAGGAGCATAACCTGGCGTGGAGGAAGTCAGAACTGGGCCTCAGGTACTTTTCTTTGGGAGGACTTGAGCTACAGCTGGCATGGAGGGGCTTGGGCCTTGTTCCTGTGCTGAGGCTCCAGCCCTGACCCACAGGTTTGGGGTCAGGCTGAGTCACAGCCTGGGCTCTGTTTCTTCCTGGTTGAGCAATACATGGTGGACCCAGCAGGGCCTCAGTTTGCCCTCTAGAGTGGGAATAGTGCCTGTCTCCATGGGGGTGTTGGGTGGGAGGAACTGATGAGACACCCCAGAATAGTGCATAGCCGTCAGCCAGTTCGCCAATACTATCGGCCATCAGAATTCCCCCCACCCTGCCCCGGTCCTACTGCCTACCTGTTGTCTTTTCTTTCGCACATGAGGACAAGTGTGCAGCCCTAGATGAGGGCCTGGGGGATGCCGCCTTCCCGAGTCCCCAGGTGCAGGCCGCAGAATAGCCCCTGCAGGGGGGAAGGGACAGGACTTGCTGTGGAAGTTAAGTCACTTCGCTGAGGCTGTTTTCCCACCTGTGGCCGGACACCGCAGCCTGTCTCACTTCCTGGCTTGTGTCGGGGCCTACGGGATAGACTCGTTGGGGTCTGTGTGAAATAAGTGAGGACTGTCAGAAAACCAAAGGGACTTGTCCACCTCGCATGGACGCCATCTTGGGCCCCTGACCAGGCGCTGCCCCTCCCCGGGAAGCTTTCCGTTTCCCCCACGTGTTCACCTGCACTTGTGAACCACACACAGCTCTACTGGCCTGAGACAAAGGTGTGTGACGTGTCCCCCTGGACATCTGGCGTCCATCTCACGCGAGAACCATCACATACCTGCTTGGTTCTTTACTCTCATGAGCTTATAGATTTGGGGGAACGAGCTTGTTCCCGCAGCCACCACACAGAATTCTTGTTCTGGCTGTTCAGCTGGAGGGGCCAGGCTGACTTGCTCTTCGGCCAGAGGTCGTGCTTCCAGCCAGGCCGGCCCTTCCCTCTTAGCCCTGCCTCCAGCAAGCTCCTCACAAGTGTCTCCAACAGCACGGAAGGTGCTTCTGTGAACGGGATCTGGGCACTGTTCAAACAGCATCACTCTGTAGATGCAACCAGCCACGCTTCCGCCTTTTCTGGCCTAAAGGCAGACATCTTGTCATTTCCTATCATTTTCCCGCGTTTTGGGGTTGCCCACGGCCTCGCTTCCTTTTGATGGAAACCAAGCCCGTGAAGTATAATGAGTGTTGCGTGACTATGTGAGCAGATTCTTTGCATGGTATTTTCTCAGAAATTCTTAGAATGACTGGGTCAAAAGCCCCACCCGTACTGACATCCTGGGTGGGGGGGGGGGACCCTGTGCATCCCCCAGATCCACATCATGCTCGTCCTCACCTATCTGAGCACCAGAAACCAAATAGCACTACCGGTTTAACATGGACCTTTCTGGTTCGACGCCAAGCATCTTGCGTCTGAGGAGCTGCATCTCTGTCTTATCTGGCCCCCGGTATCTCTTCCTTTGTCAACAGGGGTCAACTTCCTCATCTGATAAATTCTCCATCAAGGCGGCCATTGTGTTTTTCTGGCTGGGGTTCTTTCATCTTGCTGTTTGACAGGTTTCTGCGACATCGCGCATTTTATCCCTCATTTTGATCTTTGAACGCAGCAGAGCCCTCCGCCCTCCCCTACATATGCACACACGTATCCCTTTCCTTTTTTGTGCTGTTTCTGTGGCCATGGTGGTCTCTCTTGTCATATGCACACAGGTACGTGATTTGATAGGTAACTTTTACAACTAATATTTAAATTAGACGTTCATTTTGCTGATGCTTCCATGTAAAGTGTTGTGTACAGAAACATGTATGGATCGTGGACAGTGAAGGTCCCTGGCAGCAAGGGGCACGGGGCTCCCTGTGTGTCCCCCGAGGGGAGCAGGCTAAGCTTGGATGTTCCTAAATATCCAAATCGAGCCCATATTCTTGCCCAGTTGAATGTCTTCCCTCCCCAAAACACCTGCTGGTAGGGGCAGGAACTCGAGCCCTGAGAACAGTTGACTCAGACCCAAGCTCAGTCTCCAGATGCGGGAGGTGATAACAAACCACTTTGCTGACCTGTGGCAGGAAGCAGAGCACTGGGGGGGGACTGTCAGGCTTTCTCTCTTCCTGCTCTTGGGGGCTGGGGGTCAGGGTCTGTGGCTGCAGCTCCACAAGACCCACGGGGCCCCCTACCCCTCCGTCCACAGCTGCCGTGAGGGTGGTGTCATGCCCTCTGCCCGCACGGCCTGCCTCTGCAGCGCGGTGATGTGGGCCTCCCCAAAGGGTGGCTCCCCGCCAGGGGTTTCTGAAAGCGTGTTTCATATAAAGTGCCTGCCCGCTCAGTCTTCTGGAGTCAACAACTAAGACGCCAGATTACATAGACAGAGCCTAAAATAGTGACTCCCGAAATAGCAGTGCTTAGACGGAGCTTTAGATCATCAAAGTGAGACTCTCAAGCTGGGAAACAGCCCAAAGGCCTGAATGGTCTGGCCTGCCAGGCACGAGTTGGAGTGAGGTCACGCTCCTGAGGGAAGGAGGGAAGGGAGTCGTCTTCTGATATCAAACAGCGCCCCGGCCGGCACTCCGACTTTTGACTGTCTCTGGTTTTCATTCTCCAGCTCTGAAGTGTCAAACAGGCCCCTGGGTGTTCTGGCTCAGGCTGTTGAGTCTCGACATCGAGGGCGGTGAGGCACGGGCAGTTCAGCTCGCTCCTGACTCTGCTCAGGATCTTCCTGGTTAGGGACTCGCTGTTTTGATCTTTCTGGAACCGCCGCAGATCTCTGCCGGCCTTCTTCACAGTACAGGGCCAGCCGGTTCTGACTCGGCTCTGCAGGGGCTTCGAACGTCCTCTCAGCCGGCGGGGGAGGCCCCCAAAGCAACCTCAGCTCACATCTATATGTAAATGTTTAAGTCATTACTGAGCTGACGGGAGGAAAATTGTACGCACGTAGACCAAACTAAAATAAAAGCAAAAACTCCAGGAAGTAAAACCAGCTGCTATTCTGGGACTTTCTACAGAATCCTGGAGACGTGGCCCTCCCGCTCTCATGAGTCCAGGGCACTGCATGCCAAGCCCAGGGTCTGGGGCAGATGAGCAGCCCAGAGGGCTTTGTGGGGACCACAGTGAAGGAGCGAGAACCCCATTGTGCAGGAGGAGGCAGGGAGCCCCTGCTGTCTAGATGGTGGTGCTGAATGGATTGATGAACAAAATCTCCCCTGAGAATTGAAGTACAATTCCCTCTTCCCTGGTGTGTGCACACCAAGCTCTAGATTAGGGCAGGGTAGGGGCCCTCAAAGGCTCAATCTGGAAAAAAACAACCCTGAACTTTCTTTACAGTGCGCCCAGGGTAATGATTCATTTAATGTGCTCCCCGGGCTTCAGGTGAAGCAAATATAAAATCCCTTCTGAAAGAATGTGATTTCATCCAACAGATACCTTGGAGAGTTCTCAGAGTCACAGATAAAAGGATCACTTCACAAACAAAAATTACAAGATCCCAGCCAAATACCAACAATAAGGTAAGCCAATGTTACCTCAGTTTTAAAAATTAATTTAAACCCCCCCCCCCAATCACAAGACCGTAAAGAATGGAAAGACACAGTGTAGGCTGGGAAGACAGGTGCAATAGAGGCTCACTCTCCAGATGTAAACATTTATAGACATGTGTGTTTTATGTGTCCATACATATGTCATATGTATTCAACTTCTATCCATGAATAAGGACAAACAAAATGGGAAAATAAGCAAAGGACACAATTAAGCATTCTGCAAAACGAACTCAGAACTTACACGTACACAGATGAAGAGACGCTCACTCATGGATGTGAAAATTCAATGTCATGATACTATTCTCGACCCATCAGACTGGCAAAAATTAAAAAGTCAGGAAATACTCAGGGTCGGTGAGAGCAGGGAGACGGAAGCCTCCTCGCTGATGCTGTTGAAAATCCTTTGTGATCACGACAGCATGCTGTGACACAGTCTGGGTTAGTTCCCTAGAAAAACGCTTGCTTCAGAAGGTTTGCAGAAGCATTGTTTGTAAGGGCAATTTTGTAAGAGCAAAAAATGTCAAAACGAGTCCCACATCCGTTACCAACAGCAGGGAATTCTAAGTGCATCGTGATATGTTCCTAGGGTGGAAGCGATTATAATGAGGTAAGGTTACCCTGCCCACCGTTTATCCCTTGCAGACTGACTTCCCGGAAGAGGAGCTGATCCCTTAGAGACTTCACGACTCCAGCCACTGCCAAGTGCCTAAGGCACCGATCCACTACAGAGCTGGGATCCCAGCCTGCAGATTAGGTCTAGGGACGGGGCTGGTGTTTCTCCATCTGTGAAAGCAGCGTGGTGAATACTGTGCTGGCGCAACCTATCAGCCAGGTGCAATTGCCCAGTTTGGACCCTGGACCCATGATCACATGGGGAGGGATTGCTGGTACAGCCCCCCTTCTCACCCTCCACACAAACACTGACCTGACAGATCAGCGCCGGGAACCAGGTAATACCACAGAATATTGCTGTGTCCCTTTCCACAACCAAGGAGGAGCTGTGCTTCCTATTATCCTGCTTGAAAGCACCATGGCCCAGAGCTGGGGGACCCCCTCCCAGAGCACTAGAGTGGACAGCCACGCAGGATCACGCAGGATCTGCACACCTTTGACAGCTCCCACCTCCCACACTGCTGTTCCAGGTGCCTGGCGGAGCTACGGGCCACCCACTCAGAGGGACCAGACAACAGGTCAGCCTCAAGAACATTAAGGGGCCTCCCTGGTGGCACAGGGGGTTTAGCACAGTACTATGAAGCTATCCACAGCCACTGCAGCATGAGTTCAATCCCTGGCCAGGGAGCTGACCCACATGGCGCAGCAGACCTGTCCTGTCTCCCCGCTGCTCCCCTCAGCAGTGCATTTCAGTAGATCCACCTGTTCTGCTCCCCGCTCTGTCTCTGGTGAATCCTCTCACCGCCCCGCCCCCACCTCTGGCCTGCACCCCAGCTCTTGTCTGCATAAATAAAATCTTTAAAAAATAAAAACAAAAAATGTTAAGTCCATGAGGAGAGCAGGTTGAGCGATGTCATCTATACAAAGTTGACATCACGGTATCGATACATGTGATATACACGTATCAAACTGCTTTAAAAAAATCAGTATCCTTGTAAAACTATAAGGAGGAATGGTGAATGCCAAGTTCAGGGTCATGGTTTCCTCCAGGGGAGGAGAGGGAGGCTCTCCCAGGGGCACCCAGGGGGCGCCTAGTGCTGTGTTCCTAAGCTGTTGGGGATATAGGGCGTTTATTCCTCAGAATGGAAAAGGCGTGTTCTTTTAGACGCTTCGGAACTTATGTTTTACATGCAAGGTGGAAGAGGTTGATGCAAGGCTGTTCCCATCTCTATGTCTTCACATCTTAGACTCCATGCAGCGGATCAGAGCCACGGAGAGTCCTTTGGGACTCACCAAGGACACCTGCCTTCAGGGAGCCGAGCCAGAATCGGGTAAGAGCAGCCACCCCCAAGCTGCCTCCGGGTGGAGGGGGAGGAACTGCCAGTTCTCACCCCTGCTCCCGCCTGGTGCTTTGTCTACCTACCGATTTTCACGTCTCCGAAACATGCCTAAGTCACTTCTCCCCACACCCCGACTTTTGCCCTATCCTGCCAGCCTCCTCCAGCAGACCCCAGGCCTATGGGTTGGTTCACGCACACCGCTGCCTCCCCACCGGGGCTGGGCTCTGTCCCCGGTCAGCGGAGACTTCGGCAGTGCTAGGTCTATGAATTGGGAAGGCCGTGTCGAACATCAGGGACCTCCCTGACCCCCGCAGCGTCCCCGGGTGCCCGAGCACAGAGTAGCCAGTGACGGTGGCTGCATTGCTAGCTCACTCACATTGACCCTCCACAGCCCCAGGTGGGCACGGGGGATTCTGTGTTTCAGATGCAGACACTGCCACTCAGGCCACGGCAGTTGGCATTCCACTGGGCCCCCCACACTGCACCCCAAGACAACTGTGCGGTGGACACTGGCCTCCTATTCCCATCTCAGCTGATGATGGGGTGGCCGGCTTGGTCCTTCAAAGGAGAGGGCTCAACCTCCCAGGTCATCACTGAGGGGCCTTTAGCAAGGTACTGGTTTCCTGCTGTATGGGGTAGACGGCAGGTCTGGCAGAGCCCTCTGGTACCAGTGTGACTACAGCGCCCCCAGGTGGCCTCCTTGGTCAGTGTTCCAAGGTGACATAGCAGCTGCTGCATCTCCTTCAACAGTGGAGGGACTTGGGGGTCGTTCCATTCTGACTTGAAGTAACTAGCAAGATTCTTAAGGACCGAGCCGCAGGCTGGCTGGGTCCATGCCACTCAGCAGCGTGACAAGAGGCTAGAAGGGGAATGACAGCAGTGAGTACACAGCCCGGCCCTCGAGAGTCAAGTCTAGTTGAGATACGAATGCACACACACGGCTAAGTGAGAGCTTCGTTAGGGCCGTGACCCAAGTGGTGAGTGGGCTCGCCCCCGGGCCAGACAGCTACACGACCAGGGGCTTCCTGGAGGAAGCGGGCTGTCTTCAGGGAGTCTCCGGGAAGAGTGAACCGTGGAGTAGAAGCAGCAGAGCGACGTGGCAGTAACAGCAGACATGGGGGAGGAGGGGGTGCCAGCAGCAGTTACACGCCAGCATCGTTTCTGTGCAGTCATGGTTCTCGGCACCTTAACTCTGCACCCTACTTTCCACACTGTGCCACAAAGAGGAGGGGCGTGGAGCCCACAGGGGTGCAGGAAGCAGCTCGGTTGCTGGAAGTGAAAAGCCGGGTTGTGCCAGCATAAAATGAGATCTATGTAGCGCCCAGCACGCAGGGCCTGTCGACGAGTGAGGGACGGCCGGGCGGAAGGGAAGGCATGTGAAGGCCTCCCAAAGGCCAGGAGAGTGGGCCATGCCTGTCCTTGCAGGCTGTGGTCTGGAACTGGGGGTGGGCGTGAGGCTAGTCCCCCAATTGTATTCCGATCACCCGCGCATGGCAGGAAAATGCGTGCGCGTATCTGGCCAGAAACGTTTCTGCAGCTGAGCTGTGGTGGCCCCCGGGGTCCAGGTCAGTGCCAGGATGCCCTGACGCCGACCCTCCCCCACTTCGCCATGCTGCCCACCTGCACACTAGTCCTGACCGGCGCCCCTCCCTCAGCCCTGTCCCTGCTCCAGAAGTCTGTCCTGCCTCACGAGAGCTGCACGCTGTAACTCTCCTTTAAGCGATAAACACACAGAACAGTACCCCACACTGGTGGAGGAAATACAGACCGGTCACTCCACCCCGGGAGCTACCCTGAGAGCAAAGCTGGGGGATGTTCCCGCCCGCTAGTTACACAGCCGCTGTGCCGCCCCAGAAGTGAGTGCCCTGGACATTACAGGGGACACACGCACATTCTTGCTGGTCACAAGCCCAAGGCAACTGGGTTAAACGTTCAGCGGTCTTTCCTGCAGGGCTGCCGAAGACCTTACTAGCTCATCAGCACTGACCCTCCGCGGGAGGCATGGCGCACCCAGCGTGCCTGACGGCGGGACGCGGCCCGCAGGACACCCATGGGGCTTTACGTGCTGACCCGCAGCCCCGTCCAGGTTCGCACCCCTCTTCCCAGCTCCCTGTCCTGACCACCTCCTCACGTAGAGCCCCAGCTCCCCACGTCCTCACCTCACTCTCGAAGCCCAATCCAACCCACTGCCAGGCACACTTCAGGATGGCTCCTACCCCGGGGCCTGACCTCCCAGGCCACACCCACCCCACTCAAGCCACCAGGCCGCCTCCCCCACAAACACCTTGACCATAGGCCAGGGGACCTGCCCTCTGCCTGCGACTCTGCCCTCCCCCTCCTAGCGCCTTGTCATTCGGGCTCCAGCCCATCTGTCACCACCCGAGCCTTCCCCAACCCAAAGCAGCCACGTGACCACCAGCTCCCTGCTCGGCTTTCCTTCTCTGACCTCTGTTGCTGTTGCTGGGCTGGCTCCCCTGACACCAGCGCACCTTCAGACCTCCCAGCGCTGGACTTGTGAAAATGTCCTTCTGACTCGAGCCAGTTTGGGACAGGCCCCCATCACCTGCAACCACGGCGTCCTTCTGGATGCGCTCACAGCTCCTCTGCAAACAGCTCGTCTGCCGAGCTCCTGCCTCCCCCCAGGCTGTGAGAAACCCAGCCCACCAGGCAAGGGGCAGCTGGAAGATGAGGCCCACAGGACAGAAGGACAAGGGCTGCAGGGACAGAGATGGAAGATTCATTCTGGCAAACAGCTTATACATTTATTTCTGTTGAGCAATAAAAAAGAAAGAAAAGGCAAGAGCACGGTGACAGGAGAGAAGCGATGGGCTTCCTGGAGGCGGCGTCCCGCCCTGCTCCCTCCCCGCCCTTCCAGCGCAGGTGCTGGGCTACACACACACAGGAGGTGGCTGTGTTTGCTGTTTTCTTTTTTTAATGAAACTAGATCGCTGCTTACAAAACCCGGCACTTGCCCTCGTGCCCACCCCGTCACATTTCCCTCGGCTCAGCCTGTGTCTGCAGGAACTGGGCATGGCGGACGCGGCAGGACCACCAGCACCAGCTCCGTGGACGACAGGAGGGAGAGGCCCTGGCCTCCAACCAAGCCTTCGGAGGGTGACATTTCCACCTCCAGTCCAGGCCCGTCAGCCCCGGTGGCTGCACGGATGAGGGTGGTCTGCGCTGCCATGCTCTCGGCTACCACCCCGACTGGCGTGAAATGATGTGAATGTCCCGCCCCACGGACCCCCCTCCCGCCAGTAGTCTCTCCCCTTCCTCCCCCCACCCCCACCCCTAACTCTAACCCCTAGTGAGATGAGGCTCAGCTTGTGTCAGAAGGGCCAGGCCTACAGGCTGTAGAACTTGAGGCTCCTGTCCATGCCTGTTGAAGCGATGAACTTGGCGTGGTGCCCGAAGGCCACCCCCGTGGTCAGGCCACTATGCTCTGGGGAGAGAGACGAGAGGCAACAGTGAGGAGGCTGGTCTGACCCCGAGAGACTCACCTCCCCACCCCCTGGCCCTTCCCTGGTCAGTGCCCATCACACGTCACTGCTGTCTGTCCGCTCCCGGGTCCATCACCTCCAGGCCAGGACCCCAGCCTGACTGTGTGACACGGGCCCCAGGGCTCACCTGGTGCCAGCACGCAGCAGATACTCAAGATCTTGTTGGGGGACAGAGTGCATGTTAAAATGCCAGTTCCCCCCCCACCCCCCCCACCCCCCCAGCTTGTGGGGCAGCTACAATTCTGTTCAGTTCAAGTGCTCAGAAGCAGCCAAGTCAGGCTCGGGCAGCAAGAGACGAGTGCACCACACCACCTCTTTCCGGAAACTTCTCTGAGCTTTCAGTCCAGCTTAAAACCTCAGTGCTTGCTTCGAGAGCTATTTAGTTTTAGCTCCTTGCTTATAACTACAACAGTCCATCCACTTGTCCTGGTCCACGGGGGTCCAACTCAAGGAAGCCGGGGACCCTCACGCAGGGCGGGGCTGGGGGGCAGAAGAGACCAGACAACTCCTCGCCTCCAGGAGTGAACTTGGGTGCGAATTCCTCCAGGCTCAGATCACACACTTCGCCGGGCAGCCCGCCCACCAAGAAGCCCGCCCCGCGCTGCCAGCCGCCACTCCAGCTAACCCTGCCCCCAGTCAAAGCACCAGGAAGACGGGGAAGGGCCGGAGCCTGCGGCACCTCCACAACAGCAACAGGCAGGGTGCCCGCCAACAAGGACAAGAAGCTCATCCGCGAAGCCACTCGGCCCTGAGCGCGCCCACGGCACCAGCCCGCACCATCTGCCAAGCAGGGCCTGAAGAGGAAGCGGCCACAGCTCTGAGGTCAGGCGTCTCGCACACTCTGGCAAAGCCACTGGTGCAGCCACGCTGCCTCCACCCAGGCTGGACACCCAGGTGCAGTGGGTGCCACATCCCTGCTCCGGTCCCTCAGCAGACCCAAGACGTGGAGCCAACGACGACAGCAGCAAGCTCTCACTACATGCCGGGCGCTGCAGGAGCTGCCTTTTGTAGAAGCTCATTTCCGCCTCACAAGCTCCCCCCAGATCACCCTATCTCCGAGGCTCCAGAGGTGAAGTGACTTCCTGGTATCACAGCTTGAACAGGACAGCTGGGCATGGAGGCCCAGCAGTCTGACCCGGGTTCTTTATTCAGCCACTGAACTCGCCTGCCTCAGGGTGTGATCTAACCGTCCGTGCACATCCCCGCCTGGCCTGAGCAGTCCCTAAGCCGGCGCTTTGTCCCCACGTCCGGCCCTACCTGTGAAGTGAAGGATCTCCGTCCACTGCTTGCAGATGTAGATCTGGACATCTGTGCCCCCGAGGGCCAGGTAGGTGCCGCTCTGGTCAAAGATCAGGGACTTCACCTGCAGGGACAAGAAGACAGGTCCCAGGAGGGGACAATCAGGGACAGAGAAGCCATTTAGATTAGTTCAGTGAATAACTGATGAGGCAATTGCACGGGGGGGGGGGGGGCGGAGCGGGGTGCGCACACCTCAAAGTTGCTATCCAGCTGCAACGTCTTGAAGTTCTTGAGCTTGCGCAGATCCCACAGCTTGACAGAGGAGTCGTCCGCCGCCGTAGCCAGGTAGTAACCATTCTCGGAGAAGGCGATGCTGGTGATGGGGCCAGAGTGGCCGGGGAAGTTAGCCACGTTGGTGCGCTCCTACAGTGGGTGGGGGGAGCAGTAAAATGTCACCCACTGATTGCTCTTGCCTCGGACATCGTCCTGTGGTTCAGGTAAGGACACTCAAGAGGGCCCCCAGATCACACCACCACACAGAGCCAGCCTCTCCTTCCCTGGGACGCCCCCAGGGCCAGGTGCCCCGGGCACTTCATCCCCGAGCCCAGGCCTCACCATGTCTTACCTTCAAGTCCCAGATCTTGATCTGGGAGTCCATGGTTCCTGTTCCGAAGATGAGCCCATCGGGGTGGAACTGTGCACAGGTGAGAGCTGTGGGGGAGAAAGAGCTGCGGTCAGAGCCCGCGGGAGGGACCAAGCACAGCGGAGGCAGCTGCCTGGGTCTTCTCGTCCCGCGCCAGCACGGCGCCTGGCCGCAGCAGCACCGGCGCTCGGTGTTTTCAGAACAGATGGACAAAGGACTGACACACAAGCCTGAATGTGTCAGACTTGATGAGGGGATGAGGGGATGCCCGTGCCTCTGTGGCAACTCACAGCAGCCGGAGGTCTCGTCTGTCACCTTGGTGAGCACACGCCCGGTCTGGATGTCAGAGAAGGCCCAGTACTGAAAAACAGACACCGGAGCCAGTGAAGAGTGGGTCCTGGGTTCTGGGAGCCCTTCGCGACGGCAGAGACCCCAGGTCCTCTTAACAGGAACCTTCCCCTCCAGGGTTCCGGGGACCAGCTGGGCTCTGGGATGTTCCCACTCCCAGGACGATCAAGCTCGGGGACCAGCCGGCCCGTCGGGGCCCACGCTGGGACCACACCTGGTCATCGGAGGAGCTCAGGAGATAGTCGCCAGTGGCGTGGAGGCTGAGGCCGGTCACAGCGCTCTCGTGCGCCCGAACAACCTGAACACAAGAGGCATTGGGGACCGACCAAATCCTGATGGTGGCGTCTGGGGAGGCAGAAAACACCAGCTCCTGAAAGGCAAGTGAGAGGCCAGGGATCAGACAGAGCTGGCCCACAGCAGTCTCAGCAAGGGGCCAGGGTGGCACCAACAACCCCCAGCAGCTTCTTGCGTCAGCCTGCTCAACCTGCAGCCAGCCGCACGCTGAGGCCTGTGGGGTGAGCCGAGTCTGCTGAAGCAGTACCTCAGACAGCAGGTGGCCCAGGGAGGCCACGCCGTCTAGTGGTAAGAAAAACGTGCAGCAGAGAGCGATCACCCAGACTTTCTGGGATCAGAGAGAAATGCGGCTGAAGCAATTGATGAATTTCTTATTTAACTGCACTTTAAATTAGCCACGTGGCGTTACTGGCTACAGTCTGGGACAGCACAGGTCTTATCGACAGCGGGTCTGGAAGGGGCTGCGAGGGCACATTCCATGAGGATTCTGAAGGCAAGTTAATTCTCAGAGAAATTTGGAGTGGGGGAAACACTTACATAGTGTCACCCACCTGCTACTCTGGGCACGAAACACTTTTAAGGTAAAACTACCTACCATCGTTTACCAATGCAATTTCACACCCAAAAAATTAACACGTTTCCACACCCACTGAGCAGGAAAGCAATGCTTCCATCTGAATCTACTTGGTTTCATGAAGCATTTATCATGTTATTATTCTATTTCCAATTTCTTTAAGGCTCAGGGAAAGTCTTGCTGTCTGGGAAGCCTCGGTCCAGCCATGTCCTCAGCCTCAGGTCCAAGTGTCCTAACCGACACTCAGCGCCCAGAGGTCGTCACCTGGCCCACTGAGCTGCCTTTACCCTCGAAGCCAGCACTTGTCCGCATATTTGAACACACATACTATTAACAGCCAGTATCACATTTTCACCGCCACCAGGAGGACCGTGGGAATAGACACATCTGCCTCGGGAAGGTGAGGGGGAAGATGAGCTGTGTGGTCTCTTGTAGTTTGTCACTTGTAGGGTTTTCTCCTCTTAACAAAGTATTTCAACGACTATGCTTTTTCAAGCTTAACACTTCCTTGCTTAACCTGGTTTGAGAGCCGATGCCTTAGGACACCCTACACAGAGTCCAGGGCAACTCCCTAACTTCACCAGGGGCCCTAGAACACTGAGCAAGGGCACAGGGATGAGGCATTGAGGGCCAGGAGCGTCCCTTACCTGGGAAGGGTGAAACACCACACTGGTGACTTTCTTGGTGTGGCCTTTGAGGGTGGCCAGGATTTGCTCAGAACTCTTGTCAAAGACAACAACATTCTTATCTGCTCCACCTGCAAGGGCCCAAATGAGATCCAAAAATGACTCCGCCATCCGGGTCCCTCTGCTGAAGAAGGCACACTTTCTGTCCCCAGGCCGGCAGAGGAAGAGGCGTGTGCACCTTCCCTGCTGCCCCCCTCCCCCCTAGCCTGCTCTCACCGGTGAGGATCTTGTTGGTGTCAGAGGGGCAGAGGTCCAGGGCAAGGATCCCGGGAATGCTGGCGCTATGCAAGCCCTGAGCAGACACAGCACATGACAGCTGAATCGAGGCATACTCTAAAGCCACCCAACTAACCCCATTCCAGCCCCAGCCCAGAAGCAAGAGGGACTCTGCCCCTTGCACTATGCTTGGCTTGCTGCCTGGACACTGCAGCCTCTCATTGCACTGCCAGGAGCTCAGAGGACAGAAGAAAGTCCCAGCAACCCTCAGTCAAGGCGGAAAATGGGCCAGAGTCTGGCCACCCTGCCAACCGCTGGCCTCCACTTGGGCCTGCCAGCCCCAAGGACAGACCGGGAGGGCCGTTTCCGACAGCAGGGACGCGGCCACTCACCACGTGGGAGGCCACCTGCCGGTATTTGCTGAGCTCTTCGGGCTTCACCAGCTCCTCAGGCACAGTCTTCCCTCTCTGAGAAAAGAAAACGCAAGAAGTGGAGCTGAGTGCAGCAACCCGCCAGCCCCGTTCTGAGAGGGGTCACCCACCTCCCACCAGACCAGCCCTCCCTCCCTCCCTCCCTCCCTCCCGGCTTGGGGACAGGACGTACCTTCTTACGCTCCGTGGTTAGCACAGTGGCCTTGTCTTGAAGCTGGGGAAGCAAGGGAATAGGTCAGTGTGGGACAGTGGCTCACTGGGCACCGGCCACATCCCTGCCCCCCTGCATGTCACAGACACCTCGTTACCCGCCAAGTTCGCTGCCCAAGGCTTCCAGGAATGATGTCACTTTTTACTTTCACCCCAACTTTGGGACCTGGTGATTGGTGATTTTTTTTTTTACAGAGAAGGATAGTGAGCCTCAAGGAAGTAAGTCGCTTGCCCATGGCCACCGAGGTGGTAAGTGGCAGAGAAAAGAGTGAAAGTGTGCAGAGCTCCAGGCTGGGGCAGCCACTGAAGATGGCAGCGAGAGCAAGCCGGCAGCCTGGGCACGCAAGCTCTCCTCCGCTAGGGGCTCACTCTGGGGTGGAAGGGGCCCGGACCTGTCAGCTCTGCTCATGAGCTGTGAATGTGAACCTCGGAGTGTTCTGCTGCTAAACAAAGAGGAGTCGTCCTGTCCTGCCCCCCTCCAGAGGGAAAGCATGGAACCAAAGTGCTTTAATATCTGCAAAGGACCCCAGTGACACGAAGAGCTGCAGTGCACCTACTAGTAATTAAACTCCCACAGTGTAACAGTGGACGCTATTGTTCCTGCTTCAGAAGCAAGCGTTGGCTGAGTCAGCCCGAGGCCATAAAGCCTCCAGCGGTGACATCCACAACGACCCCTGCCAGCCCCAGACTTCACTCCTAAGGGCTGAGAGTCGTACTCATACAGGACTCAACGCAAAGGATGAAAAGTGAGGGTCCCTCAGCACCTCTGCCAAGTGAGAGGAAGACTCACCTTCTGAATGATCTCGGGGGTCATTCCCACCAGCTCACCCAAGTCCATGGGCTCGCCTGCACCCTGGAGAGAAGAAGGGGGGAGGGGAGAGAGGTCAAGACCGCCACTGGCACCTGCAGGGGAGCTGTGAGGGCCGCTGCGCACAAATGAGCCAGGGCAGGGGTGGGGGCGCTCACCACAACGCTTGGCTGTGAGCTTGGCACAGCCTGGGGCACGATGAGACCAGCTTGAGGTTTCAGGGTCGCCAGAGCTGAGAGAGAAGATCATGTCAGAAATGGCACCATACCACACAGGACCAGCCCTGGGGCAAGTGGCGGGGGGCGGGGGAGCACGACAGGACCATGGGATGGACAGGGGGTGGGCCGCACCTTCTCGGGCAGCAGTGACCTCCTTGGTCAGACGGGCGATGACACGGCAGGCCGCATCGTGCTGGTACAGAGCGTGGGACAGCTCTTGGCGAGTTGTCTGCAGCTGCTGGCGCAGAGTGAAGCTGTGCAGCATGACGGCGTCCTGGGGGGAAACACCACCGTGAGGGGTGAGGAGCAGGGTGCGCCCAGCCTCGGCAGAGCCCACAGCCCAGACCACCATCAGGGAGCAGGCACGACTTGAATGACCCTGAAATGTGCTGGCAGACACTCCTGCGCTTCTGCCCTGCCGAGTCCCGGGCACGGGGACAGGAGCAGCACCAGCTCTCACCCTCCCCGTCTCTAATGAACCGGCAAATTCAGATGCCATGCCACCACCTTGCTGAGGGGATGAGAATGCTGCTGCACTGCTATTTTATCGATCACCCTCGAGGTGTCAGGCACCCTGCCAGCAGCCTCAGGGTGTGCTCACCAGCCCTACTTCAGAACACCTATTACTGTGGGCGCCGCCTGCTGTGCTGGGGAGACACTGCCAAGTAAGCCCCCGATGTCATGAAGTTTCTACTTTAATTTTATTCTAATTCTCCCCAAGCCCCAAGAGACAGGCACGGATCCATGTCACAGTGCAGAAAATCAGGGCTTGGAGATGGACCCTGACTTGTCCAGAGCCACAGGCTGGTGACAATGGAGCTAAGCATGGAACCCCCACCTGTGTCCACATCCATAACCGGGCCCCTCCCCTGTCCCCCTGTCCTGGAAAAGAAAATCACACTCCCTCCTCCCCTGCAAGCCCTCGTCCAGTGACCTGTTCTCTTCAAGCGGGAACCATCAATTCTCTTCCAGAGACTCACCCACTCATCCTGCAAGGCCTTCAGGATGGCTGGGATGCTGGTGGCCGAGGGAGGCTTGGGCCGGATTGGGTGAGCAACTGGCGAGAGAAAGTGGGTGTGAGGAACCACCGCCCCCGGAGGCTCCCCCCCCCCGCCCCAATCTCTGTGCTGAGATGGCCTAGGCTGAGGCCTGCCAGCAGGTACCTTTAATGTCAATAAGCTGCTCTTCTGACAGAGGCTGGTTGTTGATGGGGTCTGTGCCGTTCTCTGCAATGTATTTCTCAATGAGCCGCCGCTCGTAGACATGATTAGACACGGGGGACACACATGGGTGCTCGGGCACCTCATTGGAGACTGCAGAGAAAAGGCAGGCAGTGAGGTTGGGCCAGACGGGAGCCTGGGCCAGGGGATGCCTCCCCCAACTGGCCCCAGTAAGACCATGGGTCCCCATAGTCTCTAACAGGAAGCAAGACGTGACACCAAGCCCGCTTTTGCATTGTCCCCAGAATGCTTCCAGCTACACAACCAGCTTCTCCCTCCGCCTCTCAGCAGTCAGGCGGTCAACAAATAATGACTGCGCAACTCCTAGTGACAGCAGCAAAGAGCAGTCCATGATCCCGCCCCAGCTCATTCCCGAACAAGAACGCTTAGGACCCAAAATATGCCAGGACCGGGAAATACACACAGACACTCAAACAGCAGGTGGACGAGCAGACAAAAGAAACTATAAAGCAATGTGACCAATGCGACAGTAACAAACACCACAGGCTGTTTATTAGGTGCAATCCACAAGGGTAAACACTTGCCACAGAAAGCTCATCCTCACGTTGCCCGCCCCCCCCCCCCAGCCCCACCACAACATCCCTGTACACGCCTGCCTCTCTGGTCCCCGCACCCCCCTGAGGTTTGGGACTGCAGTGGCCGCTGCCTTCAGCACACGCAGGCGCCCGGCAGGCTCTCCGTAAACACCTCAGAGAGCAAGGGAGGAAAACAGTGCTGGGAGCGCAGAAAAAACCTCCCTCAAGATGGCAAGGAGACAACAGATGAAAACACCCTGCAAGTTGTCATTTCTGCATAGTGAGGCCTCCTTTTCCTCGTCATCCCTGTCCTCCCTCCCGCCCCCCTCCTGGATTCACTGAGAGGTTCTGGGAAGAGTAAAGGGCTCGAGAATTACGAGGCAGAGAGGGAAAGGGATGCTGCGCTACTCCCTGCCGCAGCGACCCCTGCAGAGCACATCTGCGTGCACAAGACACGCCAAAGCAAAGCCTGCGCAGGCGGGAACGCGGCTGGGCTTCAGGGGCAGCGAGCCCGGCCCTGCCACTTACTGGCCTGCAGCTCCTGCCAGGCCGCACGCTTTCTGAATGTCTCCACCGCATCTGAAAGCCCGGGACCCTGACTCCTGCTTTGAGCAATCCTTGCAAGGCCACAGGAGGTCGGGGTCTGGCAGGGGCGCCGCACCCCGCTCCAGGCCTGGGAAATGTCCGCGCTGTTTGCATCAGCCGCAGGGGCGAGGCTGGGGGCAGCTGGGGCCGGCCCTGGGCCCGCCGGGTGACCTTCGCCGGCGGCAGCCGCCCCGCCGACACCCGCTGCAACACCCCCCTTTGCAGCTGGGGAAACGGAGGCCGGGCCCGGCGCCGCCTCACCACGCCGACCCGCGGGGTCCCCGGGTCCTGCGGCCGCGGGGCTGCCCCGGGCCGGCCTCGGCCGCGGCCGTACCCTGAGGCGCGACGTGAAGCGTGAAGCGCTGCGCCCAGGCAGCCGCGGCCGAGGGGGCGACGCCCGGGCCAACAGGCCCCGCTCCCGCCGCCCGGGCGCCCCGCACTGCGGCGCCCCGCGGGCTCCCCGCCCTCGGCCGCCCGCGACCCCGAGCGGCCGCGGCCGCACTCACTGGAGCAGATGAGGGACATGGCGCCGCCGCCGCGCTCCGGGCGCCTCAGCACCGGCTCCCGGGTCCGCTCGAGCCGCCGCGCGCCGCTTCCGGCTCCCCGCCGCTTCCGGGCCCTCGGCTGCGAGCGGGCCGCGGCCGCGCCGAGCGATGCGCGCTGGGCCCTTCACGTGGGACCCGCGGCCGCGCGCCTCAGCCCGCGGCTAACGGAAACTGCCCTTTCCCACAATGCAACCCGGCAGGAAAGGGCCCGCCACGAACACTCGGCTATTTCCGGCAGGACTCGGGTCCTTCCGTGAAGCGCTCCCGTGGGCGGGGGGAGGCGGGGGAGGAGAGCGGAACTACATTTCCCAAGATGCAGTGCGGATTTAAAGTCACAGGCATTCGGGAGACTTTTTTGGGACGCGGGCTGCCCTGGGCCGTGGGGCCGTAGCCTGGCAGATGTGGTGTGCAGGAGGGTGTCTTAACGAACTTGCTAAAATGCTTATTTCTGGGGTCTGCTTTGGAGAGTCTACTTTTTCAGAGCGTGCCCCACGTGATTGGGAGGCAGGCGTGTCCCTAGCGATGAGAGCTGCTGTGTGGCCCCATGAAAAAGCGCAGAGGCAGGTGCACAGAGACTAACACTGGCCTAGAAACTGTTCTCGTCCTGCCTCTATTTCCAGTTTGCTCTGTGACCTTGTGCAAGTCATCACCTTCTCTGTCCCTTTCCTACATGACTTGTCGGTCAACTCCAGCTCAGATAGTAAATTCTTGGCAAATAGCTGCAAGATAAGATACTCTCGGGGATTATATACATAAGGTGTTGTGGGCTGCAAGAGACCCAGGTGAAACAAGAAGACAAACAGGTGTGGTCGGCGAAGAGGTATGGATGAGCTGGACTTTGATTGGTAGGTGTGATTTTTGCAGCTTACCTGACATTTATTTGGTCATTCAGATGGCAAAATATATTTCTCATCTATATTGGTCTTCATCCACATTAGCTCACAGCTCCCCAAGCCCTGGAATTTCCGAAGTGTTGAGAGTGATTAAAAGGTGTCTTGTGTTAATGGAGTGACCCCACCAATCATGTGATTTGAGGGTTGGAACTTGGCGTACCACCCTCTTAACCTCCAAAGGAAGAGGTGAGGGCTTGGAGGTTGAATCAGTTCCCATCAATCAATGACTTAATTAACCTTGCCAATGTAATGAAACCTGAAAAGGACAGGATCCAGAGAGCTTTCCGTTTGGTGGACTTGTGGAGGTGCTGGGCAAGTGGTGTCTCTGGAGAAGACATGGAAGCCCCCCTCCTTCTTTCCCCACACCTTGCCCTGTGCATTTCTCCCACCTGCTGTTCCTGAATTATCTCCGTGTATAATAAGTTGGGCAAATCTAGTATCTTGCCCAATTCTGTGAGCCGTTCTAACAGATTAATAGAACCCAAGTAGGGGGTCTGATTTATAGCTAGTCAGACAGAAGAACAGTAACAACCTGGGCTTGAGACTGGTGTATGAAGTGGAAGGTGGTCTTGGGAGACTGAGTCCCTTTACCTGTGGAATCGAATGCTGTCTCCTGGTAGTGTCAGTACTGAGTTGAATTCGTGGACACCCTACTGATGTCCAAGATTGGCTGGTTGGGTGAAGGCAAGCCCCCAGACACACCCAAGCTGGAACTGGGTCTAGGAAACCACTCAGAGGGAAAGGAGAAGGGAGGGCAGCCCCCCAGGAGGAATGACAATAAGCAAAGGCTTGGAGAGAAAAATAAAAGTTGCAATACAAAGGGGCAGTGTGGCATAGTAGCCAAGGGCATGGACTCTGTGAAGTCACGCTGTGTGGCCCTGATCCCAGCCCCACTCAGCCAGCATGCTGTGTCTCTGCCTTAAATCCTTCATCTGTCAAATAAGAGTGGTAACAAAGGTGAACTAAATGCTGTGAGCAGTTAATATTGCGAAAATGCTTTGAACTAAGCCTGGCATTAGTAAGCACAATACAAATGTTCATGTTTGTTTTTGACCCAAAAGCCAAGCCAGATTGCCCAACCTACCACCTCTCCCCTACGCCAATAAAATTGCATCCTAAATGGTCTTGCATCCAGCCTGGTATCCTCCTAATGCACTTTCTTTTTTTTTTTTTTTTTTTTTTTTTTTTTTTTATTTATTTATTTATTTGCTTGTTTTGTTTATACATGCACTGGGTACAGTCAGAAGCGCGGGAGGGTGAGAGAATTCACCAGAGCCAGAGCAGGGAGCAGAGCAGGCAGAAGGACCGAAGTACACTGCTGAGGGGAGCAGCGGGCGGCAGGAGAGGTCTGCGCGCCATGTGGGACCCTCCTCTGGTGGCTGGGGAGCAGCCGGGGATTGAACCGGTGCCGCAGAGGCTGCGGGCAGGTTCGCAACCCAGCGCTCAACCGCTGCGCCACCGGGGAGGCCCCTCCTAATGCACTTTCTACAAACCAGCCAGTGATCTACTCTCAATGAAAAATCTATTCCTGCTCCTCCCCAGGCTTTTCATTCATTCAACAAATATTGATTGGGTGCTGTCCAGTCAATTGGCTGTGGCCCTGTTCTCAGATCTGGACATACAAATGGTGGACAGGACAGACAGTTGGAGCTTACCTTCTATTTGGGGGGAAGGGAATGCTTAGACAATCAATACATAGGAAGAAAACTCCAAGAGGGGCTAGGGCTATAAATAAATCAGAATAAGGTGGACAGGAGGTCAGGAGGGATTGGAGCGGGGGCTGCTCTAGGGAGAGTACTCAGTGAGCGCATCTCTGAGGAGGTGACACAGCGGCAGAGGCCAGAGATGAGAGAGTTTCTGGCAGAGGAAACTGCCCCCCAATCCTGCAATCTGGCCCATGCTGACCTTCACAGTCCCACTCACCTCTCCTGCCACACAGGCCTTTCAAGTCCTCAAACTTTCCTCCTCTGCCCGGTCCCAGCACTTCTGCTGAAATACTTTGCTCTCATCTCTCCCCTCTTTCCTCCCTATGTGACCTGCAAAGTGAACTTGAGCCTCACAGTCACGTCCTCTGGAGTTTTTTTTCTTGCCCTTACTGCAGCTTAGTACCTAAGGCACCCTGTAATTCTCTAAGCTGCTTTGGTAACTATACTCTTTGAATTATTTATAAGTATTTGTTTGATGTCTGAGTGCTCTGCCAGACCAGAACCTCCATGATGGCAGAAACCATAGTCGTCTGTCACTGCTGTTTCTTAGAGTCTGACCCAGTGCCTGGCACACAGTAAGGACCCCATGGACTGCTGGTTGAGTGACAGGCTGCCTGGTGGACCAGGCATCTTCAGAACTTGACTATGGTAGGAAATAAAGTGGACCCGCAGTTTAGGTGTGGCCTTGAACCCCAGCTGCTTAGACTTGATTTGGCTGGCAGCAGAATAGCAGTTAAGCTATGGAGTGACAACCACACTTCCAGAAGATTCCTCTGGCAGACACATACTGGATGTGTTGGAGGGGGCCAAACCGGAAGAAGAGAGACTGAGCATTTCATTCATTGGGCAAATCTGTATTGAGTGCCAAATGTGTGCTGTACTAGACATTGGGGATACCACTATGAGCAAAAGCAGAGGTGAGCTATATTGGGGAGCATATGGCTCTAATAGTGGAATAGAGGGGCAAAGGCATCCTTTCAAGACTTTTGAGTTCAAAAGCCTTCCCCAGCCTGAGGAAATAGAACAGGTTTAGATGAACTGATTTTGGAGTAAATATTATGGTTAAGAACTTGATCTCCGATTCCTCCCCACTCCCCTCAAGCTCAACCTCCCCACAGATCAGATAGAGCTTCCCTAGGCTGGGAAGAGAGATGTAGGGAGGTTTATATATGCATAGATGTTGGTGGAGCCCCAAGAAAAGAACTCTATAGCCTGCTCCCCCAGGCCAATGCTGTTGTGGCTGCTGCTTGGGAAGCAAGGGGCCACACTGGCCAGTAACCCCCAAGCAGCTCCATTTCCCAGCTAGTGGGAACCTGTATGGACAAGTGATGGGATTAGACAGAACAATGAAGCTCAAACCACTGGCACTGAGGATTAAATGAACTCCCCCCCTTTCCCCCACTGGCTCTTTGTTCTTTTTCCAAAAAGTGTTTACACCTGAAAATCAAGGGTGGGAAGAACCTGAACTATCTGAGGTTGTTCATATAACTCCCATAGAAAAGAGTTGAAAAGCAATTAACGCACAGGGAACTAATATTCCACTGGAAAGTCTGTGCCCTCAGACTTGTAGGTCTACAAATCAAAAATGATCTCACAAATGTAGAGTTGGAACTGTTAGAAAGGCCAAAAGATAAGGAGAATTAGGCTGACTCAGGAAGCTGGGAAAAAGATCTGTTTAGAGTGTTGTGTTTCAGGACTTGCATTATTATCAAAAGAAAGCTTTTCTGTAGCAGCCAACGATGTGGGTAGAGCATTCATGATGGGGTTCTGATGAGATTCGGGGGCCTTTGAGTTATCATGGAGAAGAGTTTTGGCAGAGTTCCCCTTTCAGCAAAGTGCCTGCGTAGACATGGGCAGGTAGAGTTCTTCATTTGAAAGAGGCTTGAGAGACACCTGCATAGACACAGGTGCTGGTCTTGTTTTTTTTTTTTTAAAGATTTATTTATTTATGCATACAAGAACTGGGGTACAGGCCAGAGGTGGGGTGTGTGTGAAAGGATTCACCAAAGACAGTAGGGAGCAGAACAGGCAAATTGACTGAAATATATTGCTGAGGGAGGCAGCCGGCTAGACCGGAGAGGTTTGCTGAGCCATGTGGGTGGTTGAGGATCTAACTCGTGTGGCAGAGGCTGCGCATAGCCTCACAGTACTGTGCTTAACCCCTTGCACCACCAGGGAGGCCCCCTTTGTGGAATTTTTATCTAGTATTAAATCAATCAATTCTAGGGTCTGATTGGGTTAATCTGTAAAGACTAGAGATTCTTTGTAATGATCCTCAATCTCTGTATATTCCCATGCCTGGTCCACACTTAAGAATCCACATTGTAGTGACTGACCATCCCCAATTCCCCATCTCCAGACCACGCTTAAGGATGATTCATTTCTGTGGTTGGCTTGAGGGCTATGTGTGTCGTTTCTCCCCCTACCCCCAGTTTCTGGTCTTCTGACTCCTCCATCTCGTTTTCTACTCTAAGCCTCCATCATTCAGACAGCAACTTGGATTTTGTTGTTGTTGTTAACATTCACGCACTTTCATGGCATGTTCATTCTCTTTATTTTTCCACACCTACTGTGGGGTGCGGTGGTATTTTCAGAAGCATATAGTACTTGACAGGAGACTCCAAACAAGTCGAGACCAGCGAGAGGAGCAGGTGCCCAGGTGCTTCCCCTCCAGTGCCTGCTGCCCCTCCCCCCGCCCCCCAAAAGGCCGGCTTTGTTGTAGAAACCGGGTCCGGGCGTCAGTCCCCGGCCTTCTCTAGAATCCAGTGGACACCTGGGAGCCATCTGCGGAGTCTGGGTGTGGAAAAGGAGGCGCGGTTGCGTTTTTCCTGCACCGTATGCCGCTAAACGTTCCTCTAATACTTCCCCCACCTCGAGAGCCATTTCAGCGCGAAAAGTTTCTCCAGCAACCAGGTGCCGCGGGCGCCGCTACCTGGGAACTACATTTCCCACAATGCCCCGGGAGGCACGCGCAGCGGGAGAACTACATTGCCCAACATGCTCTGCGTGGAAGCCTCCAGAGGGGCGTCGGGCCGAGTCCAAAGGTCCAGTGTGTCCACTCTACGGCCCAGATAAAATCCCCTCTGTCCCCTTTCCTGCCAGAGACTTCCGTTCCCAGCTCAAACTTCCGACCCCATTCTTCGCCCGGTGGGAACGCTCGGGGAAAAACGTCACGGCGCGGGCAGTGCGCACGCGCGCCCCGGCCCGGGCCGTGGGGGCGCCGCCGGGGCCCGGGCGCCTCCCGCCCTGCGCGTGCGCTCTGGGGGAACCAACGCCCGGAGTCGAGGCGCGGGTTCGGTGGCGCTTTTCAGCGAAGCCGCACGTGAAGGGCAGCGGTGGCCGGAGCCCGGTAAGCCGCGAGCCGAGGCCGGGGGCCGGCGTGCAGCGCGGGGGTCGGCGGGCAGCCGCCGCTGCAGCCGGAACCGAGGGGGAGCCCGGCGGCCCGACGGGCGCCCCTGGGGCGGGGTCCGACGTCGCGCGGCGGGGGAACGGCTGGGGACCCGGATTCTCGTTGCTATGCAACAGGGGGCGTCGTTACTAGGTAACGGGGGAAGCCAATGCTTCCGGGGAGTGGAGGATTCCCGGCGCTGCTCCGAGGGCCGGCCGGGACCCGGCGAGGCCGGACGCGGGGACTCCGCCAGCGCGAGCCCTGCGCCCCCGACCGCCCCAGCACCCAGGCTCCAGCGCCGTCTCTCGCAGCCCCTTGGGGGTGTCCTGGCCCCTGGGCCTAGAGGCATCCCCTTGCCAGCGACACCATCCAGCAGGGTTTGGCAGGGGACGCGGTGTTCGAAATAGCACCTGCCACTGACACCCGGTCTCCGGGAGGCTGGGCGCTGGGGAGGGCGCCTCGCGGTGCGGCTGGGCGGCCCTGGCTCCAAATAGCTGCAGGACAGCAGCTGTCAGGGGGTGAGCGGGGGCTGCCCCCACCTGCCAGGACCAAGTTGCTGCGTTGTGGCAGCTTCGCCCGGCCTAGGCGCCTCCTTTCAGCGCAGCTGTGTTTCTCGGATAGCCCGCAGCATGCTTGGATCAACTTTAAAATAAAACCTCTCCCTGGCTCTACATTGCTCCCCTCAGGGCTTCTTGGCGGGCCTCCAATATTCGTTTAGCAAGTGTTTATTAGCTCTTGTTCTATACTAGGCGCTGGGAATTCCAAGAAAAGGTAGTTGTCCGGTCTGATCTCCGGTGTTCAGGAGTGTGAAGAAGGCTGCCTACAAACTTGCTAAATTATGCTACAGTGTAACGAGTGGTATATTGGCAATTTGTGCCCTGCAACATTTCTGTAGATGTTTACAAAGTTCTTGTAGAAACATGTGAGCCGTGCAATGACTTTCCACCTGCTCAATCCCATTTTACCTGGAGGAGACTGCAGCTGCGACAGGTTAAGTATCAGGCACGAGGTAGTGACTTCTACTTGCTGGCAGAATTAAGTCTGGGACTGAAGTCTAGGTCTTTTGTGCCTTTCTGCACTTTTGGGATTTTGCCCGGAGCCGACTTTTGCCTGTGCTGCTGATTGGGTGTGGCAGCTGTCCGATTAGGCGTCAGAGATCCCTGAGGAGTCCCTGTGTGGCATCCTTTAAGTAAATTGACCTGGGGTGGGGCAGACATCTTGCTCTGGAAGGCTCCACAGGCTGCTATGATAGGCGCCAGAATTGAGAACCGCTGCTCCTAGGGGCAGCTCTGAGCAAGGATGGGCAAATCAGAGCCAGCAGAGGGCACTAAGGCAGCTGCCCCTCCTCTCCCCGCTTCCCCCACGGTATGATTCATCGTGTGGAAGGAAACGGGGCGGAGGGAGCCTTGGCTGGGGATGTGTGGATGGCCCCACCCAGCTCTCTTCCCAAACCACAAACACATTGTGCCTCCTCACTAGCATAGCAAGTGGAGCATTTTCTCCGGCTCAGCCGGGTCCTCCCGCCTCTCTGCCTGAGCTCTCTGAACAGAAGTGGTGGATCTAATCCCAAACCTTTGCCATCTTCTTACCTTACGCTACAAAACCATGACCTGTAAGCCCAGCAGGTGGGTCCACACCTGGTGTGTAGTCTTTTCATTTTGAACTTGTTGATGAGTTTAGTAGAACTTTAAGTGCCATGTCTTACTGAGGGAGTGTGGGGGCGAGGTGCAGAAGGACAAGATTTAGATCCTGGGCTCTAGAGTCAAGTCCAGGTTCTGCTGTGTGAACTTGAACCAGTCACTTGACCTCTATAAGCTGTAGTTTTCAGAGTGCAATGGGGAGAATAGCAGTGGGGTGGTGAAATAGCAAGCACTTTGAAGATTATAGAGCACCAAACAAGAATATTTATAATAACCATATATTCCTTGAGAACAGGCATTACAGGAGCTGAGAACATTTACTACCAACTTCCTCTCGGAGCTTGTGACTATTTCGGCTATTGACCACAATGGCCTCTAAAGTGTGTGCGTGTGTGTTGCGGGGAGGGGTGTGCAATGGCAGTGTGTCAGATTCCTACGGCCTGGGATAGACCTGAAAGAAATGAGAAAGAACCTATTAAAGAAAACATTCTGAAGGAACAGACCAATCAGAAATCTGTAGTCCTATCTGCAGAAAGCACATCCAGAATCCTGTTGAATTTCGTTTCCAGTGCACTTCAGGTCAGCTGACAAGGCAGTGCCAGCCCCACTCCCAAGGGTTTATTTCAAGGTCCCCCAGCTCCCTTTGACTGGGGCAGCTGGTAGCTCGAAAGTTGAGGCTAGCACAGAATGTGGCAGGCTGCCATGGCGGGGGTGGGGGGTGCAGTTCACATGCCCTGACCTCCTCAAAAGGGAGACGAATCTGCTCCCGCCTGGTGGAGGTCCTTGGATATAGGATCCGACCCAAGACAGCAGCTCTGCTCTTCAAGTCCCCAGCGCGGTGCTGACCCAGATAGCACAGGCACTGACCTGCGCTTCCCTCTTCTCTGACCACTGGCGGGCAGGAACCATCTGGTTCTTGATTTCTGCCAAAAGAGAGTAGAAGGCTCTCCAGCCTGAGTCGTTCTGCATGGATCGCATGTTTTGCAGCCCTGCTTGACCCTCCAGGTCTCAGGAAGGACTTAGAACAGCAGTTTCTGCGCCAGAATGTGCCCCCAATGTGATATTTTTTTCTGACCCTTTCTTGGAACCCTTCTCCTTCCCACCAAACAAAAACGGGAACATCTTTCTCCCCATCCCGATGGCGCCGGATTTCTAGCCAACTCCCTGCGGGCCCTGCTAACTGCAAAAACTTCGCACACCTGCCTGCCCCCAGCTCAGGCCATGCTGAGCCTCTGCTCATGGGGCTGAGTCATGGACACTCCCTGGAGGCGCAGGTCCCTTCTGAGCCTGGAAGGGAACGGGGGATCTGCTGGTGGTGGCTGACATTTCTCAACCATGGTGGCAGATAGAAGTTGGGATTGAAACATGTTTCTTGGCAGAATCCACACGTGCTTCAGTGAGTTGGTGCTTGTTGGTTCTTGCCCGTGGCAGCCTCTTACAGAACAGATGAGAGCTCGCAGCGGTTAAGTGAGTTTTGTCACCGGTAACTCACGGAGTCGCGATGGGTGGGTGCCACCTTTCCTTAGCTCCTCCTGTATTTGAAGGAATTTCTAAATCACTTCTGAGACTTCGGTTGGAGATGATAGAGCAGGGTGGTATGGGGGGGGGGTTCTGATGTCACATATCCCCGGATTCAAAGCTTGATTTCCACGCTTTCTACTTACCTTTCCTCCGTTTCTTCAGCAGTAAGATGGGCGATAATAACAATTCCTTCCCGACAGTCACTCTCCTGACGGGTCACTGCGAGGATTAAGTGGGGCAGGTGGTGCACGGTTAGCTTTTTACTGATAATGGAATCTTTCCTCGGCGGTTGTGTTTTCATCCTTGGCTGAGTTTGGGGGCTGCGTAGTTGAGGCCATTCTGTTAGTGGCAGGGAGCAGTAATTTGGGGTCCGTTTACAGGTCTGAGCCTGGCTACACTGGCCAGTGACCTCAGAAGCTCTGGGTGTGGGCTGGAGGCCCCTGGCTGTGGACTCCCGGGTGAGCGCGGCGACCAGCCAGTGCTGAGATCCTGTGTTACCTTCACACCTCACGTGTGCGGCCCTGGAAGCAGAGGCTTAGGCTCAACTCCTGGCTTTTCTTCATAGCACGCGACATTGGGCAAATGCCTTTTACTCCTAAGTTTTAGTTTCTTACGTGCACATTGGGGCAAGGAGGGTCGCACCCACCTCAGCGATGGTCCCGTGCTGCCCATGCGTACGAGGTATCCTTGCTGGAGCACCTGGCTCAGCACTTCTCTTCCATGGCTGCACAGTGGCAGTCCCATTTGTGTACTATTTTTAAGTGTTTTGTTTTTTTTTTCAGCTTAAGTAGATTATAATTTCCTTGGGGACAAGCCTGATCGTCCTGTATATTTTTTATTCCCATGGTACCTAAGAGCCAGAGGCAGACCTTCAGCGTTTTAGAACTGGAGCAGCCTTAGAGAGCCTGCCTCATTCTACCCCGGCCCCAAGGCCACTGAAGAACACTTGCTGGTTAGCTCATACACCAGGGGTAGAGAATGTGATGGGGGACCCCGCTGTCAGATGACTGTGCTCCACTGAAATAGAAAAATCCCTGTCCTGCCTGTCTCAGCTAACAGGGTAGGGGCGGCAGAGGGTTTCGGGGTGCATCACAGCCGGACAGTGGGTTTCTGTGCCCGCTCTGGTTCTCTGCTCACCCTGTGCTTCTCTCCTGCCAGACCCAGCCATGCCAGGCCCAGGCAGCACCTCAGCGCAGGCTAAGTACCTGTTCAGTGTCATCCTGGTGGTCCTCCCGGCCTTCATCCTCCACTCGGCACGGGCCCAGTCTTCTCAAGACTTTGGCTCACCCGGCCATCGGAAGAAGGAGGCCCCCGTCGATCTCTTGAGCCAGATAGGCCATTCTCTGCGGGCCACATTGGATGAGTGGGTGGGGCCCGAGACCATGCACCTGGTTTCAGAGGTAAGCGAGGGGGTCCCCGCTGTGACTGCGTGGGTTGAGGAGTCCTGACTGCACATCCTCTGTGTCATAATCCCCGATACAGAAGACCCCAGAGTGCACAGGGCGAAGCCAGCTGGAACCTGTCTCGTGGCTCCCATGGTTGGTTCCTACCCCGGGGCCTTTGGCTCTGCCTACTTCTTGCCTTGGCTCCTGCCCTTTCTTGCCAGAAAGACGGGGAGTGAGGCGTCTTTAGAAGCCATGTAACTGGGTGACTGCAGAGCCAGACTTTGGTCTAAAAGTCAGACTTTGACTTAAACCTAAGCCAGACTTTTACCTAAAGTTGGTTAAAAAAAAAAATCAGGAACTGAATCCATTCCTTACCTGGAGAGGTGGGGGTGGGGCTGTGACCTGATGGCATCCCATGTCACGTGCTTCTGAGGCGGCACCAATGACTGCGGATTCTGGACAAGGTCAGAGTATAGTGGAGCCGAGGGACCCCTTTTTCATTCACACATCTGCGTCCTTCACAGAAGTTACTCCATACACTTTCATGATTCCCCAAGAGGCTAGGAGGACCCCAGTTTCACAGAGTGACTACTGCACGGATCTGGTGATTTACACACAAACTATTCCAGCAAGTCAGTTGAATTAGGGCCCAGATACCCTGGGGTCCAGTTCAGGCCAGAGAAATGACCTGCTGTCTGTCCCTACACCCCGGAAGGTGGCTGTGGAAGAGACTTAGCCAGGCCCAGCAGCACTTCTGAGAAGCAGGGGTGAGGTGCTCCTGCTGGGCCTGGCCGGCAGAGGTGGGATTGCTCAGGGGAGGGCAGCATCATTAATTATGGACTCACTTGCTCTCTCCACAGACCTTGTCTCATGTGATGTGGGTCATCTCGTCGGCCATCTCTGTGGCCTTCTTCGCTCTGTCTGGCATCTCTGCGCAGCTGCTGAATGCGTTGGGGCTGGATGGTGAGTGGCAGAGCCCTGGTTAGAGTGCTGCAGTTTAGCCTGGCCTGCCCTGTGACTGGAGTTCATTTCAGGGTCCAGACATTTCCCTAGTTGCTCCACACCTCCCAGGTCTCCCTGGAGGCTACTGTCATAGGAGCAGGCCGATAACTCCCACCACACAGCAGGCTGAGCGTCTTGCTCCCTGTGGTACCGCACTGTTAACCTACAGCCCAAAGTACTCAGTGAGTAGCTACAGGCTCAACCATCCAGCAGGGACCGGAGCTGACCCTCTTCCCCACCCCTGGTCACCTTCCCAGGGTGGCTGATGCTGTGACTCTCCCCCTTCCAGGAGATCTCCTTACCCAGGAACTGAAGCTCAGCCCCAGCCAGGTGCAGACCTTCCTGCTGTGGGGAGCCGCGGCCCTGGTCCTTTACTGGATTCTGTCCCTGCTTCTTGGCTTGGTCTTGACCTTGCTAAGGCGGATCCTGTGGGGCCTGAAGCTGATCTTCTTCCTGGCTGGCTTTGTGGCCCTGGTGAGGTCGGTGCCTGACCCTTCCACCCGGGCCTTGCTCCTGCTGGCCTTGCTGACCCTCTATGCCTTACTGAGCCGGCTCATAGGCACCCCGGCCTCAGGGGCCCAGCTGGAGGCCACGGTTCGAGGGCTGGAGCGCCAGGTGGAGGAGCTGCGCTGGCGGCAGAGGCGAGTGGCCAAGGGGCCCCGGAGCGTGGAGGAGGAGTGAAGGACGCCTGGCAATGCCACCTTCGTCATACCAAAGAGCTGAACTGCTTCCGGGTCGCACAGCCCTCCTTCCAGGCCCTTAGCCCTTCCTTGCCCTGGCTCTGAAGCTCAGAACCTCCCACTCTGCACCAGACCCCCAGCTGAGAGAGGAAGACCACTTCCCCTGCTGATTCTGGGAGCCCTGCCTTCTGGGGTTCTGTGTTTGGGGTTAGTTCTCTTAACCCTTTCTCCACTCCTGTCCTGTCTCAGCCAGGACAGGGGTTGGGGCATCCCCCAGCTTCTGCATCTGCTCTCAGCACTGCCTTCATCTCCGGGGCCGTAGCCAGGTCTCCATGCAGCCACCTCTGACGCTCTTGCTCTCCTGTCCTCCGCCTCCTCCTTTGCTGAGTCCCCGGCTCCCATCCCGTTGTCTTCACTTCCTGCATCCACCCAAACCACACCTCTCAGGCATGCTCCTGTCCTCTTCAGTGCCCAGCTGGTAAAGAGGCAGGGGACCCGAGACCTGAGGGGAGGGGGTGGGGGGGCATTCCCTCGGGCTGGGACAAGGATGACCATGGAGTCTATAATAAGTGCCTTAATCAGGGCCAGCGGGCCCTCTCCTTGCCTCTGCTGTCTGTAGTGCGCTGGGCTGCTTTGTGTCAAGAAGAGACTGGTCCCTTTCAGAATCTCGATTCCCCTTTAGCCAAAGCAAAAGATGGCTGCTTTGCAGACTCAGGCCTGCAATTAGGACCCCACCGTGGTGGTCAGATCCCCTGTGGGGACTTCAGAGACTCTGAAGGAGGAAGAGGTCTCATCTTCTGGCCTGCACAGTTCTAGATGGCTGCCTCCCCCCCACCCCCTACTCACTGCCACCAAGGAGTTGCTGATCAGCGCCCACCCCGGGGCCTAGGAGGAGCACGGAGCAGACACCAGAGATGCAACTAGAGCCTCTGTCTCCTGTTCTGCGGGAGCGGGGAGCCTGCGGCTGACTCGTGCTCATCCTTTGAGGTCTGGTAGAAGTGGGTGTCCTCTGCCCCGCCTGGCATGTGAAGAACCAACAGATGCCCAGTTCTTCCTGTTACAGTTTGATGTGGAATCACAGCTGCAGTGATCTATATTTTTATCTGCGCTTGGTTGGTTTTAAATAAAGTGCACGCTATTTTATTATCTTGCTCTGTGTAACATGCATTTACTCAAAGCCTGGATGACTTTGATTTCTCTACAGTGAAACCCTTTTCTGTGGAGCTGCTCAGCTTTCTTGACCGCTCCCCGCAGGGGTGGTGTGAAGCTGGTAGAAGGGAGGGGGGGACAGACTAAAGGCAGGCCTGGGGCCAGGTATGCTTCCTCCCTGGAGGGTGAGGAAGGAGGCAGGAGAGCCCCCCACTACAAAACCTCCAAGAACTGAGCAGCACTGTGGGGATAATGGAGGGTGGGGGGAAGGGCCCCGACCCCTCGGTGTGGAAAAGGCTAGTCCCAGCCAGGAGAAGGCACACCTGCCCTCCTGGCCTGCCTCACCAGACTGGCACTTATTGTACTGTTAGGGGGAAAGGATGTCGGTTGCTCTACAACAGTACCAGCCTTCACCAGGTGGTAGATTGGGTCGTTTGTCTTGAGGGGCCCTGGCAGGTGGGGGTCTTGTCTTCTGAAGGTGCCCAGGACATAATCAGGTGCAGGCGGGGTGCCCTGCTCTGAGCCCCTCGGGACACTGGCGGCGAGGCTGCACAGGGAGGCCCGTCTGGGAGGCAGGCCTCCTTCAGGAGCAGAGACAACCCCCACGCCTGCCAGGCCCATGTGCCAGGCCCATGGGCGTCCCCGGGATGGGGTTGCCCGAAACTCCAGCTGCCTGCACCTGGAGCCCTCCCCCACGGGAGCGGCCAGGACTGCGTCTGGGCAGGCCCCGCTGGTTGTCCCCGGGCCGCATCGCCTCGCCCGGCCTCCCCCATTCCACCTCTGCATTCCGGTGTCCCTCAGCCCCGAATTCTGGTTCTGACCCGGTGTCAGATGCCTTTACAGGTGAGCTGCTTGTGGGGCGGGAGTGGGGCTGAGGAAGTGGCTCGTTCCTCTGGCTCCGGGGCTCCCGAGAGGGCGCCCCCGGAAACGCGGGGTGTCCCGCCGGGGCGCGCCGGTGCCCGCGGGTCCGGCCGGGGGAGCAGCCTCCGCCCCCCGCGAGCCCGGGCGCGCGGCGCGGGGACCCGGCGGGCACTAGGACCCGGCGGGCGGCGGCGGGTGCGGGCTCCCCCCTCCGCCGGCCCCGGCCCCGGCGCCCGCTCCATTGTCTGCGCTCGGCCGGCGCGGGGCGGGCGGCAGCGGGACCCGGCGCGGGGCGGCGCGGAGCGGGCGCCCGAGATGCCGCGCGGGACCGCCGCCCCCTGAGCGCCCGCCTCGGGCCCGCCGGCGGGAGGACGCGCGGCGGATGGCGGGGCGCGCGGCGGCCGCGCGCGGGGGGCCCGGCCGCGCGGGGCTGCGCCTGCTGCTGGCCCTCGCCCTGGACGTCGTGAGAGGTCAGCGGGGGCGGGCGGGGCGCGGGGCGCCGGGCCCGGCGAGGCCGGCGCGAGGGATGTCGGGGGGCCGGGAGCCCTCGTCGCCCCCAGCCGGGGTCTCCCCGCGGCGGCCCCGAGGGTCTGCCCGGCGCGCGTGGTGCTGCCCCTGCGCTCCCCGCCCGCTGCTCCTGCCCTGGCCTGGGCCGGCCGGTCCGGCTCGCCCCGTGCCCACTGCGGCCCCTGCCCGCCGCGCCCTCGGAGCTTTCCCTGCAGCCCGGGCGCCCAACCCGGCTGCTCCCTGCCCCCGGGCACCGGCCCCTGCGGTGCCCCTTCAGGGGCGCCCGGGCCCCTCGCCCCTCCTGGCTCACTACCTACCCCACGAGAGCGCGAAGCTGCGCCTTTGCCCGAGGTCTGCCTTCAGGAGCTCCCTGACCCTCGAGTCTGCAGACACTGCCCTGTTCCCGCCTTCCTGAGCCCTCACGGGCATCTCCTCCCTGCAGGGGCAGCTACTTTCTGTCCCCTGGGGTGGGGGCTGGGCCTGCCCTTGGCATGGGCTCGGGCTGCTAAGTGGATGGTGCCACAGAGGAAGAGCCGGGGCCAGCGGGGCATTTTATACCCCTTCATCCGGCCTGGGAGAACTGAGCTCTGGGGGACGGCCCGTGGGAGTCAGGCCACTGAGCATCTTGTAATTATGGAGGCAGTGGAGTAGGAGGACGGCAGGCCAGGGGCTGCCCCCTGGGAGCTGGAGTCACTCACCTGTTACGCTTGGGGGGAGGGTGGAGAGTCTCCGACAGGCTGCTGGGTGGGGAGGGTCTTGAAGGAGATTGAAACCATCATGGCCCCCAGCCCAGCAGTGGGGCTGAGAGGAAGCTGGCTCTGGGGTTGCTTTCAGCCACCTGCTCCCCTCCCCAGGGGACCCGGCGTGATTCCTAATAGCCCTGACACAGAACGACAGGAAAGCCTGGTCAAATCCATTGCCGAAGCAATAACCCTCCCTCCAACATCGCTCCACTGTACCCAAAGCCCTCCCTGTCCACGGTGGGGCAGAAGACCCGCTCTACAGGCAAGGAAACTGAGGTCCACGATGTTAGGACTGACCCAGATTTCACGGAGGCTTTTACAGCAGAAACGTAATGACAGAACACTAGGGAGAGCTGTCCAGCTTGGGGGATTCCAGGATGGGTTAGGCGAGGCCCCTGGCTGGAGGAGAGGAAGATAACTGATTCAGAGGCAGAAACCTGGGGTGCAAAAGGACTGATGGGAGAGCAAGCAATCAAGGAGGGCTTCCTTAAGGAGGCACCATTCACTTGGCCCTGAAGGAGGAGAGAGGTGCCACTGGGCAGGATAGGGGAGACCCACAGTCTAGGTGGTGAAGCCCACAGGCACATAAGCAGCATGTGTGGGGAGAGAGGCAAAGGCTGGAGGGGCAGGGTGGTGTCGTGGTCAGCACCTGGGCTCTGACGCCCAGCTCCAGCCCTCTCCAGCTGTGGGGCCGCAGGCAAGGATCTTAACCTCTCAGCCTCATTTCCCACATACATAAAATGGCATCTATAGTAACAGAGACGCTAATTCTCAAAGTTAGTATCAAGGCTGTTTAAACTGTAGCCTGTACAGTGTTCAAAAAATATTATTTATTATTTTTGAAAGATTTATTCAAGAAATGTTATCTATTACTGTTGGAGTGAATTAATAGTCCATTGGTAGAAATGAAATAGAGCTTAGCAGTCCTTTGCTTTCTAGATGTTGAATGTCTTTTTTTTTTTTTCTTAAAGATTTATTTATGCATTCAAGAACCGGGGCACAGGCCAGAGGACTTACCAGAGGCAGAGTGGGGTGCAGAACAGGCAGACTGACAGAAACACACCACTGAGGGGAGCAGCGGATGAGGCAGGAGAGGTCCGCTATGCCATGTGGGCAGCTCCCTGGCCAGCCGGAAATTGCTTTCGTGCTGCCGAGGCTGCTCACAGCCCCACAGTGCTGTGCTCAACCCCTTGTGCCACCAGGGAGGCCCCTAGAGGTTGAATGTTTTGATTATCTCCCCGTGCACTAACCCCTCCCATCCCACTCTTACACTCCAACAGCCAGGGAAGAAGGGAGCTAGTTTGAGGACTCTTGAGGTTGCCATGGTGATGATGGGGGAGGGTGGGTGGACACCCACCAAACCTGGCCAAGTACCAGGGGCAAAGGAAGGGCCTCTACTTTCTCTGCGCTCACCTGGTCACTATCGTTTACCAGCTGGGCTTGTCTGGGGAGAGCTGTACCCCACAGAGGCCTGAGTGTCAGAGGCAAGGGGACAGGGCCAGGAAGGGGTGCGGGAGGCATTGAGGGGGTTCTGCCACAGCAAGGAAGACCTGCACCCGTGGATGGCAGAAGGAACAGCTTGGAAGCTGCATCTGGTCCTGGACTCTGACTCACATCCGGCTTCCTCAGTACTGCCTGTGCAAGGCTGGCGGAGGCCCCTCGTCTCTGAAATGGGGTGATCCCCCCCACCCCTAGGGGGATGGGACATGCACATCCTGTGACCCCTGCTGCTCACCACTGGTGTGTGCTGGGACAGAGCTCAGTTCTCCCTGCCTGGCTGCAGCTGTCACCATCTCTGCCCCTTGTCCCCCTCAGTGGCCTGTGACCAGGACCCCCTGGACCCGCTCTACCTGCCAGCGGCTCTGGAGCTCCTGGATGCCCCTGAGCACTTCCGGGTGCAGCAGGTGGGCCGCTACCCACCTGCCAACTCGTCTCTGGGCTCCCGATCTGAGACCTTTCTGCTCCTGCAGCCTTGGCCCAGGGCCCAGCCACTACTCCGGGCTTCCTACCCGCCCTTTGCCACTCAGCAGGTAAGGAGGGGCACCCGGGCCTCCCAGGCCGGCAGGGCTCAGGGCCAAGGGCTGCTGCCTGTGGCTCCAGGGCCAGCCCCCACCCCAGCTTCGTTCCGCATTTTCTAGAGGGAATCTGAGGCCCATAAACACCCTCCTCCCGGGACGGGGCTGGCAGCCTGGGGTGCCCCGTCCCCAGACCTTGCTTCCACCACCTGCTGAGTTGACCGTCCCTGTCCTGCCTCCAGGTGGTGCCTCCTCGCGTCACGGAGCCCCACCAACGGCCAGTCCCCTGGGACGTGCGGGCCGTGTCAGTGGAAGCAGCAGTGACTCCGGCGGAGCCCCATGCCCGTGTCCTCTTTCACCTCAAAGGGCAGGACTGGCCCCCGGGCCCTGGCGGTCTGCCCTGCGCTCGGCTCCACGCCACACACCCCGCAGGCACCGCTCACCGCGCCTGCCGCTTCCAGGTAGGGGGTGGGCCCCACCCGGGCTGGCTCTCACCAGAGGGCCCCTGGGGAAGGGAGGAGAGGGAGCACCACTCCTGGGAAGTTTGGGGGGCACCGGCCACTTGACTCATTCCTGGAGTGTTGGCTTCACGGGGCCCCGTGAAAGGGTTATTTAGGCCCCTGAGAATTCCGCCCATTTTCCATGACTGGGCAGCTTAATGCCTCTGAGACTCAGTCCCCTCGTCTGTCAAATGGGGCGATACCAGTTCCTACCCATAGAGAGTGGGGATGAGGAGCAAGGGTGCGTGCAAGAACAGTTTTCAGCAGGGTGCCGGCGCAGTCACCCAGCCAGGAGAGCTGTGTCTGGCTCGGTGATGGTGAGCGTTCACCTGGAGTGGCGATTTCCACCATTTTGGGATCTAGCACAGAGAGAGGTATTTTGC